TACGTCCATTGCAGTCTCAATGGAAATAAGTCACTGACTTTTTTGGGTTATCCCAGGTTCTCTACACATATACTGCTATGTATGATAATCTATGTAGTTAACTGTATTTATGTATACATGAATAAGCTTACTTATTCCAGCTGTACCGGAGATTCGAACTTGGGACCTCAGTGTGTGAACTGAGGGCGCTAGCGATCGAGCTATGGGACACACTTGTATTAAAATGTGCCAAAGTGGTTAGGCCACTTTATTACCTCACCTCCCCCACTCATCCTTTTCCAATATTTCCATCTTAGCCCATCCTTCTTCCTTCCCCATCTTACCAAAGTTCTGGTCATACTTCGCCTCGCCTCGCTATCCTCTTCACCTAGCAGTATGCACAGTAGGTTCCTGGGTGTTAGAGGACTGGTATGGGTGGCAGCCTGTGGAATAGGCTTACAGCACCCCGATGAAAATAAGCCAGTCAGATAACATGGCTTTATTGGGTTATCAGGACTGTAATTCGTGAATCACTCTTCGGCAGTGTACTTTATCACTGCATTCCACTGATGAATCGCAGACGAAACATTTCGTCAATAAAGGTTCCTAGTGTTGCACATATGCCACTGGGGTATCCTGGGTTCAAGGACGGATCTACTGTGAAACTAATGAAACTTAAGCTTCAGGGGCCCCTAATCCCGGTGGGGCCCCAGAAGCGATTTTAGCCAACATTGCTTAAAATTTTTGGGTCTATTGTATGAGAAGGGGTTGCGAAGGACCCTCTGTAGCAGTTCCAACTTCAGGGGCCCAAAAATGTAGGTCCGCCACCACCTGGGTTACTAACCCTCAGAGACATGAAGATTGGGTTGTATTATCTAAAAGTCTTTGTGATCATTATCTTTTGTTCGACACATCAACCAAATTGCTAAATCTTACAATTTTTCATATTTGCATTCTCTATGTAGTCAAAAAAAATCTTGATAGGTAGAGTAACTGGGTCTTTACCCTTGCGTTTTCCTCTTATTGTTTTTTTTTTTTTTTTTTTTTTTTTGTAATTTTTGTGGGTTTGCCTAATTAATTGCTAAAATGACCTCAGTCTACTGAAACCTGCAACGAAGACTGATAATTTTTCCACTCAATTGCTGCTCTTGTTAGTCTCTCCTTGTGTCTATTGCATTGGCTCCTAGAGTAAGTTTATTGTCTGTATTATGCAGTTTTTAGTTAGTTTAATATGTTTATTATGCACCCCATACCCATCCTGTGAGCGGTAGTCAAAAGATTACAGAGGTACATAATTGGTCCAGGGACTGGACTCCAAAGTTTTGATAGCTGAGCAAGTTACAGAGGTAATGAACTCACAATTTACAAAGGTAATGAACTCACAATTTACAAAGGTAATGAACACACAATTTACAAAGGTAATGAACTCCAGGTAAGTCTGGTCACAATCATGACAAGTTACAAAGGTATTTACAGATTACAGAGGTACGTAATGGGTCCAGGGACTGGGCCCCCAAAGTTTTGATAGCTGAACTAGGTACAAAGGTAATGAGCTCACAAGTTACAAAGGTAATGAATTCTGTAGAATGGTTACTTACGTTTATACATGGCTACAATCATGAACAAATTATAGAGTAATGAGCAATTCACACTTCCACACCCGGTCACAACTGTAATGCCCATACCCATCTTGTGGGTGGTAGTCAAAAGATTACAGAGGTACATAATGGGTCCAGGGACTGGGCCCAAAGTTTTGATAGCTGAACAAGTTACGAAGGTAAGGAACTCTAGGTAGATCTGGTCACTATCATGACCAAGTTACAAATGTAATGAATCATCTACACGTCTATAGATGGTTACAATCATGAACAAATTACAAAGTAATGAGCCATTCACACGTCCACACCCGGTCACAACTGTAATGAGTTATTGGTGTAAATATTAACTGGGTCACACACACACACGAGCACAAACATGGCTCATAGAGACGCAAAGACTGAATTTAAACGCTGTTTATGAACATTTAAAGCTATTAAGTGACTAGTTAATGGTCCAAGTAGGACTGAAACTTCGTCATATAAGTTTCATTCACCTGTGTGTGAATTATTTGTGTATTAACCCCAAGCATCCTTCTGATATGTTTGTACTGTAAACTCCAGGTAAGGTCAAGCTCAAGAAAATTTTTGAGAATTGGCCCGAACCCTTTCAAACTGAGCCGTGTGCTGTTGGATAAACTTTATGCTTTTGGTTTAAGAGATAGTTTACCCTGTTTCATTGACAATTTCTTGACGAATAGGACCTTTCTCCACCTCCTCCACTCACATAGAATAATCGTGGACATATTTCTCCATGAGAACGGGGTACCACAAGGCTGTGTGCTCAGCTCAACATTGTTTTCCATTTTGATTGATGATATTGTTTCCATCTTCCGTCGTACGACGCCTTAAATAATCACAGAGTGGAGGGTTCAATTTGCCCTTGAATCAGTCCAATTTTGGACAGTGCAGTTGGGTTTTAAGTTTTCCCCTGTTAAAAGTATCCCAGTGGTCTTCATTCATTATACCATCCCCCCTCCTGTCCACATAACACTATCATCCGGTGACAATGCGATACCAGTGCAGCTTCAGCAAGGTTCTTGGGCCTCCTCTTCAACCGCAGGCTCAAATGAAAAAGACACGTTGATATCCTAGTAACACGTTGTGATCAGTCAGCTATTGGATACTGCTAGACTAAGACTAGGCTATAAGTATCCCTAGCAGTACTATTTGGAGATGTCAGTGACAAAATGCAAAGTGTGTGGACAGAGACAGAGTCATACACTGGTGCATTTTATCTTAGTGTCCAAACATCCAACTATTCAGACACCTCCATGCAAACCTTGCAGGACATGGCAAAACACCTCATTGTTAATAATAAGGTATCTGAAATCTTGAGGCTGTATCCACATTTTGCATTAACTAGATGAGCAAGCTGTCTTTATAGAGGTAGCAACCCAGTTAAGAGCAGTGTTTCATTTTTTGTTTTTAAGTGATAGTAAGATACATATATTTTTTGAGATTGTATTCCTTACTGCACTGTGTAAAACAACTAGGTAAAGTAATCGTAAAATACGAAATGACTAATATTTCTTTCTAGTGATGTAACAATGGTCAGTAGGATCTGACAAAGACCATTGTGACCTTTGTAGTCCTGTTTTTTTTTTTTTTGGGGGGGGGGCTACCACTTTCAGGATAAGCTCTGTGAAAGGGAGTGCACAATAAACTAGCCACTCAGGAGGCACAACTAACTGCATTTGTGTGAATTATATCTTTATCCATATTACACAGCATTGGAAAATAAGGAATATCTACTAGGAATTTTTATTGACCTAAGAAAAGGTTTTGACACAGTAGACCACGACATCCTACTCCACAAACTTGATCATTACGGTATAAGAGGCCATGCGCTTGCTTATTTCAAATCTTACATTACTAATAGGTATCAGTATGTCACCACTAAAGACACAGCATCAGCAACACGACCACTTGATACTGGAGTTCCGCAGGGCAGTGTCCTTGGTCCCCTGCTCTTCCTCATATACATCAATGACCTTCCAAACGTACCCCAACACCTGAAACCCATTCTCTTTGCTGACGACACGACTTATGTCATCTCTCACCCTAATCTTGCCACCCTCAACACCACTGTGAATGAGGAGCTGATCAAAATATCGACTTGGATGACAGCCAATAAACTTACGCTTAACACTGACAAAACCTACTATATTATGTTTGGTACCAGAGCAGGAGATGCACAAATTAACATTAAGATTGACAACACTAATTACCAGAAATAATGGGGGCAAATTCCTAGGCTTATACCTTGACAACAACCTGAATTTCAGCACCCATATCCAGCATATATCCAAAAAAGTATCCAAAACGGTTTGGATCCTCTCCAAGATACGATACTACGTGCCGCAAAATGCCCTTCTCACACTATACCACTCACTTATTTATCCATACCTCACCTATGCTATTTGTGCTTGGGGATCAACTGCAGCAACACACCTAAAGCCAATAATAACCCAACAAAAAGCTGCAGTAAGAATAATCACTAAATCCCATCCCTGGCAACACCCCCCCCCCACTCTTCATAAACCTAAACTTACTCCCTGTTCAGTACATCCACACTTACTACTGTGCAATCTACATCTACAGGGCCTTAAACTCTAATATCAACCTTGACCTAAAACGCTTTCTTGATAGTTGTGACAGAACCCACAGGCATAACACCAGACACAAACATCTCTACGACATTCCCCATGTCAGACTAAACCTTTACAAAAATTCAATGTATGTCAAAGGCCCTAAAATCTGGAATACCCTACCTGAGAACTCTAGAACTGCAGACACATTCATCGCCTTCAAAACTACCATTAGAAAACATCTTATCTCCCTGATACACCCTGTCAACTAACTACACGAATACCACCTGGTGGTTCACACTTACACTCACTGACTCATTTGACCATAAACAGAAATATTAATCTCAATCTTAAAATAATGAATCCTGTAATACTCCAATACTGAAACTATGTACTGTGCCAAAACAAAAGCATTCACATTGCTAAACTCACAAACTAGTATTTAGTCAGCCATAATACCAACTTACCTCATAATTTGTAATATTTTACAATTAAGAATAAAACTAAGTCTGCCCGAAATGCCTAGCCATGCTAAGCGTTCTAGTGGTACACTCTGTAATCACAATTTTACTACATGTAAACCACACAATAACCAAATTTCTGTAAACTCAGCATTGTAATCCTTATAGAGAATAAAATTTGAATTTGAATTTGAAGGTGACCCCGGTGGCCTGGTGGCTAAAGCTCCTGCTTCACACACGAAGGGCCCGGGTTCGATTCCCGGCGGGTGAAAACATTTCGACGCGTTTCCTTACACCTGTTGTCCTGTTCACCTAGCAGCAAATAGGTACCTGGGTGTTAGTCGACTGGTGTGGGTGGCATCCTGGGGGACAAGATTGAGGACCCCAATGAAAATAAGTTAGACAGTCCTCGATGACGCACTGACTTTCTTGGGTTATCCTGGGTGGCTAACCCTCCGGGGTTAAAAATCCGAACGAAATCTTATCTTATTCCCGGACTCCCAGGAGGTTGGGCTGAGTAAGTTGCTACATTTGGTGGCCCTTAAAGCCCTCAACAACAACAACAACAAGACTTTTTTTTCCCTAAATTCTCACCTGTATTCACCTATAGTCCTACAAAGACACATTTTCCCTTTTTTCAAGAAAGTAAGGTTAGTCTTCCCATAATTGTGACATGACTATAATGTAAAATATTAAGTAGTTTTTGCAGCTGATATAGTATTTTGTTGTGCACATGTTAGAAAACATATATAATGAAACACTAGAACATATTTGTAAGAAAATCTTTGGTCCTGGGACCTTGATCACTTCTGATTAAGGTCACAAGACCAATTTATCAGTATGATATGATCTTGAACACTCATTGATGTTATTAGCACTCGTATACATTTTGTAATTATTTATATTTAACCCAGAACACTTGACTCACACTGAGGCTTGATCCCCAGATGAGTGGAAACATTAGCCATGTGATCTTAAACTTGCTGTTCTTGTTTAATGCTTTCATCCCACCCCTCCACAGGTGCTGTATAATCCCTATGGGTTTAACACTCCCCCATGATAATAATAATGTTCACTGAGCAGTAGTAGGCACCCTGATGTTAGTCGACAGGCATGGGTCGCATCTTGGGGAGAGGATTTAAGGACTCCAATGGAAATAAGCCAGTCAGTTCATTGATGTGGCTTTTTTAGCCTTTTCTGGGTTATTAGCCAGTCAGGTTAATACTCCAAATAAAATTTTCTCCAACCTAATTAAGTCAAACAATTTGCCGTATTTCTGTTGGGTTCTTATGTACTATTTTTTTCCAGGACGTGACCCACAATAGTTGACTTACCTCTTAGTTACTTGTTGACTGCTACGTGAACTTGTGCAGCACGTACTGTACTAGATTTTCCAAAATGGATGTTGAAATAAAACATGGCATGAAAACTGTGTGACTTAAAATATCCAGTAATAAAATTGTAAGATAACATTTATTTAGGGTAACTACATAGTTACTATTATTTCACAGATTACAGTACATTATTACATATGTTAAGTTCCCAGTTCTATGATGTAAATGTCTGTTACAGTATTTACCTAATTCAGTAGTGGAATCTCAAGCAGTGTTGCTCTGGTGAGATGATTTGATCATTTTTCCAGGATTTACCTAAGCATCAATTTGAACTCTGGTTAAACTATGGTAAAATCCTTATAAAATATGGAAATCCCTAATAACCACTCCATGGTCCACTTGTTTCTACAGGATTTTCTTTTAATGTTGCTTCTGTGACCAAAGGCAGCATCAAAGTAGGTAAGGAGAGGTTTAAGTCTTCCCGTAATCTCCATCAGTTCTTCAAGGCTCCTCCAAATAAAAATATGTAATAATGTATCTTCAAAACAAGTGCCATAGCCCCCTAATCCAGCCAGATTGCCACCCTTTGTCTGTGATGTTTCAACACAATTTATGATTTAATTACAGTTAGCATGCTAAAATGTCATCTGCATGAATTACAGAGGTGGTACCATTTTCGTTAAAATTTCTTGTACAATAAACTAATACATTGTGCATGTTAAGTTTTCGAAATTGATGCTGTACATAAATTTGCAATGTGTTAAGTTAAGAACATAAGGGATTATGTTCCTTACACTTCCAGCAAGTAAAACCAGTTTATTAAATGTCTTCATTTGTCAAAAATAATAAAGCTTTTGATACCTTATGTTGTAGATGTCATTACATGTTGACCTAGAAGTGGAGAGTGTTGAGGTAGTTATACTAGGCCTTATTGGATGCAATGAGGTTTAGACAATCAAACAAAAATACATGTAACAGTTTTTCTTACCTTAAGTTCTAGTTACTTATGCATGTTGATCTTGACATAATTGAAAATGGGCGGTGTGACCCTTCTTGGTTGAGGTGGATGACTGTTGTTCTAGGGATGAGGTGAATGGCTGTGGCTCTTGGTATGAGATGGATAACTGTGGCTCTTGGAATAAGGTGGATGACTGTGGCTCTTGGGATGAGGTGGATGACTGTAGTTCTTAGTATGAGGTGGATGACTAATTCTTAGTATGAGGTGGATGACTAATTCTTAGTATGAGGTGGATGACTGTGGTTTTTGGGATGAGGTGGATGATTGTAGTTCTTGAGATGAGGTGGATGACTGTGACTTGGGATGAGGTGGATGACTGTAGTTCTTGGTATGAGGTGGATGATTGTAGTTCTTAGTATAAGGTGGATGACTGTAGTTCTTGGGGTGATGTGGATGACTAGTTTTTGGGATGAAGTGGATGACTAGTTCTTGGGATGAGGTGGATGACTGTAGTTCTTGGGATGAGGTGGATGACTGTGACTCTTAAGCCAAGGTTGATGCAAAGTTGTTACTGAAATTCTCAGGTATTCTGCCATTTATTGACAGGCATCCTGTTAGAGTGCTGCTTAAATCACATAACTGAGTGCCATTTATAAAAACTTTTATTCTTGATAAAGCATCCTATGCTGCACCCTTGTATTTTCCAATATGAATTACAGTACCGTATCACTTTACCCATCAGGTACATAACACTCCAGGATGCATTTAGAAGCCCAAGCTATTGTATTAGCAGCAGGTCCAGGGATGAGGATGACCACATTGACTAACCATACTCCTAAGTGCCTGCTGCCTTTGGGCACGCTCCCCATGGTTTGCTACCCACTGCAGCTGCTGCAGGAAGCTGGCTTCTCAGGTTGGTAGGGATGGATTATTACCTACAGTATTTATAGTTTTATGAGCTGAACTGTCATCATAGTTTCCCATCTTTTTTAATCATTCATAATTTTGAAATTTCAAATGGTTGTTCAGAAGTTGTTTGATAGTTTTGTTATGCATCCTGTACCCATTCTAGGAGCAGCAGTTAAAAATAGAGAAATACAGGGACTGAACCCATTCCAGACATCTTCCACTTAATCTGATGATAGATAGACTGGAAATGCTCTGTATACTGAAGGGCTTTCTGCATCCACACCTAAATATCACCCATCTCTGTACAAATTTTGTATCATGCTGAAATAAATAATCTGAATCTGAATCTGAATCTGACGGTGGAAAAAGCCCACAAGGCTCAGGTGAGTAAATGATAGATTATACAGTGAAAAAGAAATTCAGCACATGTTATTGTGTAGATAGGAACAGCTAGTTCAGTCAGTTACTGTGAATCAGTGGATAATTGTGAGTTATAGATTGTAAAATACTTTTGTGTACATATCTTGTGAGGAATAGTTGTCTGTTTCCCAACATGTCAAAATAGAATTGGTTATATTCGTAGTAATATTTTGAATGTGGTATTGCTAATTTCTTACTGCAGATGTAACAGTGGTGGTGAGTGAGGGAGAGGAACAAAGGATGAGCAAGGTGGTAGAACAGTACAATCTCAAGCTCAACCTGGACATAGCTTCCGTTAACACCTCTCATGACCCAGGCACTGCTGACTCCCTCAGACATGTGGCATCAAAGATTAAGGTTTGCAGTAGTATTCTAATTACATAATTGTTACTTATTCCCATTGGTTGTTGCCATTATCAGGATTACTGTATCTTCTCATAATTTTATTCCATTCTTTCACCACTGTTTGTAAAGAAAAATTTCACAGTACAATGGAACCTCGGTTTTTGTCATTAATTCGTTCCAGAAAGTCTGACGAAAACCGAATTTGACGAAAACTGAGGCAATATTTTCCATAAGAAATACATGTAATGTAAATCCAATTAATCCATTCCAGACACCCAAAAGTATTAACAAAAAATACATTTTATAGATAATAACTATAGTTTTACATACAGAAAACAGTGAGAAATATATGTAAAGGACTAATGAAATGGATAAATGAACATTTAACATCACTTTTACGTTTATTGAAGACTCTTGTTGGCGTATGGAAGACACGAGGAGGGGAGAGGGAGGAGGAGAGGTTATTGGTTGGAAGGGAACTCCCCCTCCATAAGGACTCCGGATATCAAGTCCCTATCCTGGGTTACTTCCTTTCTTTGTCTTTTACTGGCACTGGACCCCTGTTACACAAAAAATCTGTTCAGAGAGGTCTGTTTCTGGCATCTCTTTAAGGTTTGCCTAAAATGGGACAAGGCATTGTCAATGAACATGTTGCAGACATGGCTTGCAACAGCTTTGCTTGGGGTGATATTTCTCCACAAAACTTTGTAACTCACTCCACTTTGCACACATGTCCTTAATCACTGAAGAAGGCACATTCTCCCTTCTCACTTCCTCCTCCTCTGAAGCAATTTCCTCAGCTATGATCTGTTGCTGTTCCAGTTGAAGGTGTTGCAGCTCTTCAGTGGTTAGCTCTTCCCTGTGGTCATCCACCAACTCTTCCACATCCTGGCCACTCACATCCAACCCCATGGACTTCCCCAAAGCCACAATAGATTTCACAAAGGCATAGGATTATCAGAGTGAGCCTCAAATCCTTCTCATGGACACATTCTGGCCACAATTTCTTGCCTTCTTTATCAAAGGGCTGGCACTCAGAACTTTCTTTGGCTCCATGGTGGCTTATTTAGCAATCACACTCAGTAAACAAGCACAAAAAACAATGGATTATTACAAAATGTTTCGGATGAACTCACAGGGTAATGCTCACTCGACAAGAAACAAAGCCAGACTGACTCAGAATGTGTGGGATGCTTTGTGTGGGCGCAGGCAGGCGGGCATGTTCGGTACAGCAGACCGATAAAAACCAAGGTGATGAACGGAAACTGGGACAAAATTTTGACGAAAAAAGTCATTGAAAACCAGGGCAAATGAAAACCAAGGTTCCATTGTATGTATCTCATTTACTCAATTTTTCTTAGTTTATGTCTGTGGCCTCTTGCTATCCCTGTTGAAGGTACAATATAAAAAAAAAAAAATCTTTTATGCTTTCATATCCATTGATAACCATGTATGTTATTATTATTTTTATTATTATTATTATTATTATTATTATTATTGGCCCCTCAAGGAAGGTTCCTTGATGTTGGTGAGGGGCTCTTGATTTAGGGAATTGGATCTGTGCTCCAGTTCCCCGAATTAAGCCTGAATGCCTTCCACATCCCCCCCCCAGGCGCTGTATAATCCTCCGGGTTTAGCGCTTCCCCCTTGATTATAATAATAATAATAATAATTATTATTATTATTGTTGTTGTTGTTGTTGTTATTATTAATTTTTTTTTTTTCAAAAAGTCGGCGTTCCCACCGAGGCGGGTGACCCAAAAAGAAAGAAAATCCCAAAAGAAAATACTTTCATCATCATTCAACACTTTCACCACACTCACACATTATCACTGCTTTTGCAGAGGTGCTCAGAATACAACAGCTTAGAAGCATATACATATAATGATACACAACATATCCCTCCAAACTGCCAATATCCCAAACCCCTCCTTTAAAGTGCAGGCATTGTACTTCCCATTTCCAGGACTCAAGTCCGACTATATGAACATAACCAGTTTCCCTGAATCCCTTCACTAAATATTACCCTGCTCACACTCCAACAGATCGTCAGGTCCCAAGTATCATTCGCCTCCATTCACTCCTATCTTACATGCTCATGCACGCTTGCTGGAAATCCAAGCTCCTAGCCCACAAAACCTCCTTTACCCCCTCTTCTTATTATTATTATTATTATTATTATTTAAATCTGCTGATTTTAATAAATTTTCTCAATGCTAACATTTTCACTATTTGTAGTGGAGCATTGATGATGTTGTGATTGTATCAAGTGACTTGGTGACTGATGTTAAACTTCAACAAATCATGGATCGCCATCGATCAAGTGGTGCTGCCCTTACCATGCTCACGGCCAACAATCAGCCAGAGTTCACTAAGGCAACACCTCCGGGACCTAAAACTAAACCTACATTTAGTAAGCCATGCTCTTCACCCAGCTAAGTTTTGTCACTGCAGTTTACTATAGATCAACCATCACTAATCCGGCATCATTAGAACCTGGTTGAAAATTATGTTGTATAATACATTATTTTTTGTTTGACATTTTATACCTTGGGTATATAGCTTACAAATAAGTCTCACAACATTATCAAACATATCATTTATTTCCATAGATTATACCACCTGACTTAGATGGGATTACTGACATTAATAAAGTAGATAATATGCATTTTTTATACAGGAGTATAATGGGATCTTCCTTGGATCACAGCAAAAGCCTTACTGTGTCTTTATGTTGTTTTCTCTCCTTATTTCATATTTATGTTTATTTAGCCATTTAGAACAAAAAGATACAACCATGACTGGAGGTTATAAATGACCATAATTTTTAAAGGGGTGGACCGGTAAGCCAGCGGAAGGCCTCGGTCAGATGACCAAAAGCTCCAAAGGCGGGTCATCATCTGACTAAGACCCGCGTCAGGAAACATTTGTCCTGTTTCCTGACGAACCTTACCTAACCTAACCATGACTGGAACAATACTCAAATAACCCACATATAGGAGAAAGAAATTTATGACCATTAATGTCATAAGTTTCTTTCTCCTGTGTGCATGTTATTTGTATTTTAATCATTTATTTTATTATGTACCTAGTGGACTTAATTATGTCATCCTGACTTCAAATAATAATGGAAAATGACTTTCCCTACAATTTTAACTTTTTTCATTTTTTTAAAATTTGGGGGTTTTAATTAGTAGCACGGGAATATAAAAAGGGAACTGACATAAGACCTACTTCCCCCTGTTGAGGGGAAAGTAACTTGTTTGGACATGTTTGCCCCCTCTTGCCCCAAACACTTAGTTTTTCCCCAAAAAAACCATGCCAAAAAAGGTGTATTTGGGCCCTAATAGCAAGGGTGTTCCTGGGCATCATCATTAAGCGCCTCCTAGTTTTGACTGGGGGCCAAAGGGGGGTGGCATGGGAATATTCTAGTTTTTTTTTTTTGTTATCAGTGTATTTGGAATTTTTATTGAGTGTTCGTTTTACATTTACCATAACAAAATTTATTTTTTGTTCATTTAAAAAAACAGCTTGTTCAAATTTAAAGGCCGGAAAAAAACAAATGAGGGAAGTTTTTGTGTGTTAAAAACATGTATTCAGTGGTTTTATTGTAGGGAGGTAAAGCACAGGGGGGGGACAGTGTTTGTTAGATGGAGGCTGGGGTAGCTTTGCATGATCTCATCAAGGGCCCCAAAAAAAATTCCCGGGGTTTTCATGCCTCACGCACCAAAGTTCACTTTATTTAACCAAAACGTGAAATGCTCTCTACTCACTGCGTCATATATTTTTGCATTTCTCTTTTTTTTTTTTTTAACAAGTTGGCCATCTCCCCCCAAGGGCGGGGGTGCCCCAAAAAGAAAAGAAAATCCCCAAAAAAGAAAATATTTTCATCCTATTCAACACTTTCCCCCACTCATACAAATCACTGTTTTTGCGAGGTGCCCAGGACAAAAAGTTTAAAAGCAAAACTTAAAAAGATAAAAAACATATCTCTCCAAACTGCCAATATCCCAAACCCCCCTTTAAAGTGCAGCATTGTTTTTCCCATTTCCAGTACTCAAGCCCGACTTTATAAAAATAACCGGTTTCCCTAAACCCTTCCCTAAATATTACCCTGCTCACACCCCAACAGATCGCAGGCCCCAAATACCTTTCGTCCCCATTCACTCCTATTAAGTGCTCACGCTTGTTTGCGGAAATCCAAGCCCTTCCCCACAAAACACCCTTTACCCCTCCCCCCAAACCTTTCGAGGAAAACCCCCCTACCCCCCCTTTCCTTCCCCCTACAGTTTTTAAACACTCTCCATTTCATTCTACTTTGATCCATTTTTTTAAATGACCAAAAACCCCTCAACAACCCTCTTCAGAACTCTACTAATACTTTTATTAACTCCACACCTTCTAATTTCCCACCCGTTTTTTCTGCAAATATTTTACCCAACATTGCCCTTAGAAGGGGCATTCCACCCCCTCCTCCTGCAGCATTTACCACCCAAGCTTCACACCCATATAAGAGTTTTGGTATACATACTTTCATACTTTCCCCTTTCTTTCCCTCCATGATAATTTTTTTTGTCTCCACTATCCCTCAATGCACCACTCACTTTTTTCCCTTTCACATTCATTTAAACCCCAAATCCTTATACACCTTTCTGCTAACACGTCAACTCCCAAAATTAAAAAACTTCACTCTTCCTACCCCTCCTCTCCAATTTGTTTCCCAAATTTTTTTTTATCTAATCTTTTGTACCTCATACCTTACTCTTTCTATTTTACTTTCAATTTTACCTTTCCCACACTCCCAAACTCGTCTACGACCTTTGCAAAATTTTCTTTAGATCTCCCATAAGAAGTATCCAGCAAAAGTAACTGTGGGCAATTCCCCATTTTGTAGTATTCCCCCTAATTTAATCCCACCCCCCTCCCCCAACCCCCAGCATTTACTTCTTTACAACCCCATCTAAAAATATTAAAAAACCATGGTGAATTACACACCTTCAAAACCCACCCTTTTCCGGGAAGTATTTTCCCTCTCTTCTACACACCCCAACCCCAAGCCCCACTTCCTCATAAAAACTCTTTGCAGCATTTATAATTCACCTATTCCAATCATGGACCCCCGCTAACTTACCCGAATGCGACCAATATGTAATGGATTTAGAAATGCATTTTACGTGTATGTTTGGGGGTCTGAAATGGGCTAATCTATTCACAATTTTCTTATGGGAAAAAAATTCGGTCAGTACTGCCCTGAACATACTTCTGGGGTGAAAAAATATCGTTAACCCGGGGGGCCACTGTACTTGCAAAAATTGCCCCTCGTTCCCCTATCCACTTAACATAGCCTTTTTAACCAAAAAAACAAGAAAACTTCCCTACCCGTTCTAAATACGTTCACTTCAAGCCTTTTTCTAAATACTGTTCACTTCAATGCTTAATTTAAAAATTGTTACACATCCCCCATCCACTCTAAAAACCCCCTTTCTCACCACAATCCTACATTCTGTCTTGCCTCTAATTCTTTCAATAATAACCCTACCATGCACTTTTCCTGGTATACTCAGTAAACTTATTCCTCTATAATTTTTACAGTCTCTTTTGTCCCCCTTCCCTTTATATAAAGGAATTATACATGCTCTCTGCCAATCCCTAGGTACCTTTCCCTCTTTCATACATTTATTAAACAAAAATACCAACCACTCCAACACTATATTTCCCCCTGCTTTTAACATTTCTCTCTATGGTCACTAGATTAATGATACACAAAATCACAGTACTTGGCTGCTCTCCATAACACAGTTTTGTTACTACTAACATCCAACTGCTTACACACATTCAACCATGACCTAGATGTTCATATCTCTAACTTTGTCACCCTCCATCTACCTTCATCTCTGGTCTGTCTGGAATTTTGTGCTGTCGTTGAAAATCACATTGAAGAATTAGACACTTTTCCAACATTTGGGAATGTTGCAAAAATGTCCAATTCTTCATTTTCAGTTTTCTACAACATTTACATAGTAGTAGGTTGGTAGACAGCAACCACCCAGGGAAGTACTACCGTCCTGCCAGATGACTGTGAAACAAAAACCTGTAACTGTTTTGCATGATGGTAGGATTGCTGGTTTCTTTTTCTGTCTCATAAACACGCTAAGATAACAGGGATATCTTGCTACTCCTACTTACACTTTGGTCACACTTCACAGACATGCACATGCATATATATATATACATACATCTAGGTTTTTCTCCTTTTTCTAAATAGCTCTTGTTCTTTTTTATTTCTTCTATTGTCCATGGGGAAGTGGAAAAGAATCTTTCCTCCGTAAGCCATGCGTGTCGTATGAGGCGACTAAAATGCCGGGAGCAATGGGCTAGTAACCCCTTCTCCTGTATACAATTACTAAAAAAGAGAAGAAGAAAAACTTTATAAAACTGGGTTGCTTAAATGTGCGTGGATGTAGTGCGGATGACAAGAAACAGATGATTGCTGATGTTATGAATGAAAAGAAGTTGGATGTCCTGGCCCTAAGCGAAACAAAGCTGAAGGGGGTAGGAGAGTTTCAGTGGGGGGAAATAAATGGGATTAAATCTGGAGTATCTGAGAGAGTTAGAGCAAAGGAAGGGGTAGCAGTAATGTTAAATGATCAGTTATGGAAGGAGAAAAGAGAATATGAATGTGTAAATTCAAGAATTATGTGGATTAAAGTCAAGGTTGGATGCGAGAAGTGGGTCATAATAAGCGTGTATGCACCTGGAGAAGAGAGGAATGCAGAGGAGAGAGAGAGATTTTGGGAGATGTTAAGTGAATGTATAGGAGCCTTTGAACCAAGTGAGAGAGTAATTGTGGTAGGGGACTTGAATGCTAAAGTAGGAGAAACTTTTAGAGAGGGTGTGGTAGGTAAGTTTGGGGTGCCAGGTGTAAATGATAATGGGAGCCCTTTGATTGAACTTTGTATAGAAAGGGGTTTAGTTATAGGTAATACATATTTTAAGAAAAGAGGATAAATAAGTATACACGATATGATGTAGGGCGAAATGACAGTAGTTTGTTGGATTATGTATTGGTAGATAAAAGACTGTTGAGTAGACTTCAGGATGTACATGTTTATAGAGGGGCCACAGATATATCAGATCACTTTCTAGTTGTAGCTACACTGAGAGTAAAAGGTAGATGGGATACAAGGAGAATAGAAGCATCAGGGAAGAGAGAGGTGAAGGTTTATAAACTAAAAGAGGAGGCAGTTAGGGTAAGATATAAACAGCTATTGGAGGATAGATGGGCTAATGAGAGCATAGGCAATGGGGTCGAAGAGGTATGGGGTAGGTTTAAAATGTAGTGTTAGAGTGTTCAGCAGAAGTTTGTGGTTACAGGAAAGTGGGTGCAGGAGGGAAGAGGAGCGATTGGTGGAATGATGATGTAAAGAGAGTAGTAAGGGAGAAAAAGTTAGCATATGAGAAGTTTTTACAAAGTAGAAGTGATGCAAGGAGGGAAGAGTATATGGAGAAAAAGAGAGAAGTTAAGAGAGTGGTGAAGCAATGTAAAAAGAGAGCAAATGAGAGAGTGGGTGAGATGTTATCAACAAATTTTGTTGAAAATAAGAAAAAGTTTTGGAGTGAGATTAACAAGTTAAGAAAGCCTAGAGAACAAATGGATTTGTCAGTTAAAAATAGGAGAGGAGAGTTATTAAATGGAGAGTTAGAGGTATTGGGAAGATGGAAGGAATATTTTGAGGAATTGTTAAATGTTGATGAAGATAGGGAAGCTGTGATTTCGTGTATAGGGCAAGGAGGAATAACATCTTGTAGGAGTGAGGAAGAGCCAGTTGTGAGTGTGGGGGAAGTTCGTGAGGCAGTAGGCAAAATGAAAGGGGGTAAGGCAGCCGGGATTGATGGGATAAAGATAGAAATGTTAAAAGCAGGTGGGGATATAGTTTTGGAGTGGTTGGTGCAATTATTTAATAAATGTATGGAAGAGGGTAAGGTACCTAGGGATTGGCAAGAGAGCATGCATAGTTCCTTTGTATAAAGGCAAAGGGGATAAAAGAGAGTGCAAAAATTATAGGGGGATAAGTCTGTTGAGTGTACTGGTAAAGTGTATGGTAGAGTTATAATTGAAAGAATTAAGAGTAAGACGGAGAATAGGATAGCAGATGAACAAGGAGGCTTTAGGAAAGGTAGGGGGTGTGTGGACCAGGTGTTTACAGTGAAAATATAAGTGAACAGTATTTAGATAAGGCTAAAGAGGTCTTTGTGGCATTTATGGATTTGGAAAAGGCATATGGACAGGGTGGATAGGGGGGCAATGTGGCAGATGTTGCAAGTGTATGGTGTAGGAGGTAGGTTACTGAAAGCAGTGAAGAGTTTTTACGAGGATAGTGAGGCTCAAGTTAGAGTATGTAGGAAAGAAGGAAATTTTTTCCCAGTAAAAGTAGGCCTTAGACAAGGATGTGTGATGTCACCGTGGTTGTTTAATATATTTATAGATGGGGTTGTAAGAGAAGTAAATGCGAGGGTCTTGGCAAGAGGCGTGGAGTTAAAAGATAAAGAATCACACACAAAGTGGGAGTTGTCACAGCTGCTCTTTGCTGATGACACTGTGCTCTTGGGAGATTCTGAAGAGAAGTTGCAGAGATTGGTGGATGAATTTGGTAGGGTGTGCAAAAGAAGAAAATTAAAGGTGAATACAGGAAAGAGTAAGGTTATGAGGATAACAAAAAGATTAGGTGATGAAAGATTGAATATCAGATTGGAGGGAGAGAGTATGGAGGAGGTGAATGTATTCAGATATTTGGGAGTGGACGTGTCAGCGGATGGGTCTATGAAAGATGAGGTGAATCATAGAATTGATGAGGGAAAAAGAGTGAGTGGTGCACTTAGGAGTCTGTGGAGACAAAGAACTTTGTCCTTGGAGGCAAAGAGGGGAATGTATGAGAGTATAGTTTTACCAACGCTCTTATATGGGTGTGAAGCGTGGGTGATGAATGTTGCAGCGAGGAGAAGGCTGGAGGCAGTGGAGATGTCATGTCTGAGGGCAATGTGTGGTGTGAATATAATGCAGAGAATTCGTAGTTTGGAAGTTAGGAGGAGGTGCGGGATTACCAAAACTGTTGTCCAGAGGGCTGAGGAAGGGTTGTTGAGGTGGTTCGGACATGTAGAGAGAATGGAGCGAAACAGAATGACTTCAAGAGTGTATCAGTCTGTAGTGGAAGGAAGGGGGGGGTAGGGGTCGGCCTAGGAAGGGTTGGAGGGAGGGGGTAAAGGAGGTTTTGTGTGCGAGGGGCTTGGACTTCCAGCAGGCATGCGTGAGCGTGTTTGATAGGAGTGAATGGAGACAAATGGTTTTTAATACTTGACGTGCTGTTGGAGTGTGAGCAAGGTAACATTTATGAAGGGATTCAGGGAAACCGGCGGGCCGGACTTGAGTCCTGGAGATGGAAAGTACAGTGCCTGCACTCTGAAGGAGGGGTGTTAATGTTGCAGTTTAAAAACTGTAGTGTGGAGCACCCTTCTGGCAAGACGGTGATGGAGTGAATGATGGTGAGGGTTTTTCTTTTTCGGGCCACCCTGCCTTGGTGGGAGTCGGCCGGTGTGATAATAAAAAAAAAATAAAATAAATTTACATAAAATCACACGTCTGACACAGTACCAGATCCCCATTTTAACTCCCAGCTTCCTCACATGCACACTTGCATGTACATATGAACCAAAGGTCAGGAGAGTGTACACTGTAGCAGAGTTAACTCTTTGGATAATTAGAATAATTAAGTATTAGGATTGGAGATTACCCTTTTCATAATTTATTTTAAGTACACCGTCACTCCTTTTGACAGATAGTGATGTCATTTGTACGGAGAGTGGGACTGGGCGGCTGATGTATGCTGTAGCTGGGGGTGACTATGATGAAGTTATAACCCTGCATAATCGTGTTTTGAAGAGTGCCACTTCCCTTGATGTATCAACATCTGTGGTTGATGCTCACCTCTACATCATGAAGCGATGGCTTGTTGAATATATCCTCAGTAAAGAGTATGAATCTTCTTTCTACATTTGGCTAAAAAAATATTTTCATGGCTGTTCTGATTATAATGTTTATAATTTATTAGTTGCTGATAAAGTTGAATAATTTTTTAAGTTAGTTGTGCATGTCTTAGGTACTAGTACAGAATTTTTTTTTTTTTTTTTTCAACAAGTCGGCCGTCTCCCACCGAGGCAGGGTGACCCAAAAAAGAAAGAAAATCCCCAAAAAGAAAATACTTTCATCATCATTCAACACTTTCACCACACTCGCACATTATCACTGTTTTTGCAGAGGTGCTCAGAATACAACAGTCTAGAAGCATAAACATATAAAGATACACAACATATCCCTCCAAACTGCCAATATCCCAAACCCCTCCTTTAAAGTGCAGGCATTGTACTTCCCATTTCCAGGACTCAAGTCCGACTATATGAAAATAACCGGTTTCCCTGAATCCCTTCACTAAATATTACCCTGCTCACACTCCAACAGATCGTCAGGTCCCAAGTACCATTCGTCTCCATTCACTCCTATCTAACACGCTCACGCACGCTTGCTGGAAGTCCAAGCCCCTTACCCACAAAACCTCCTTTACCCCCTCTCTCCAACCCTTTCGAGGACGACCCCTACCCCGCCTTCCTTCCCCTATAGATTTATATGCTTTCCATGTCATTCTACTGTGATCCATTCTCTCTAAATGACCAAACCACCTCAACAACCCCTCTTCTGCCCTCTGACTAATACTTTTATTAACTCCACACCTTCTCCTAATTTCCACACTCCGAATTTTCTGCATAATATTTACACCACACATTGCCCTTAAACAGGACATCTCCGCTGCCTCCAACCGTCTCCTCGCTGCTGCATTTACCACCCAAGCTTCACACCCATATAAGAGTGTTGGTACTACTATACTTTCATACATTCCCTTCTTTGCCTCCATAGATAACGTTTTTTGACTCCACATATACCTCAACGCACCACTCACCTTTTTTCCCTCATCAATTCTATGATTAACCTCATCCTTCATAAATCCATCCGCCGACACGTCAACTCCCAAGTATCTGAAAACATTCACTTCTTCCATACTCCTCCTCCCCAATTTGATATCCAATTTTTCTTTATCTAAATCATTTGACACCCTCATCACCTTACTCTTTTCTATGTTCACTTTCAACTTTCTACCTTTACACACATTCCCAAACTCATCCACTAACCTTTGCAATTTTTCTTTAGAATCTCCCATAAGCACAGTATCATCAGCAAAAAGTAACTGTGTCAATTCCCATTTTGAATTTGATTCCCCATAATTTAATCCCACCCCTCTCCCAAACACCCTAGCATTTACTTCCTTTACAACCCCATCTATAAATATATTAAACAACCATGGTGACATTACACATCCCTGTCTAAGACCTACTTTTACCGGGAAGTAGTCTCCCTCTCTTCTACACACCCTAACCTGAAAATTAAAATTTAAACAAGAGTATGTTAATTTTTATGAAAATAAATCAGATATAATCATTAAGATTACCAGTATGTTCTTGCATATGAAGATTAAAGGCAAGATAACAGTTTTGAATCTAAAGTGTTTGTCTTGGCAGATTTTGATACAACTTAGTGAATATGCTGGATGCTTGTCATGGAAGAATTTGTGAAGGAAAAATATGAAGACATAAGAATGATATGAGGAAGTATGATGTTAGGTTGAGTTGTGCTTTCTTCCTGACATCTGATCTTTTTACAAAGTGTTGCAATAGTGAATGCCATTGATTCTTGTTTTGTCCATGCCAGAAGCCAGGTTAACTTGCACAAATATTAATGTAATGTTGTCACATATATATATTATTGTTACAGATCATCTTGTGGAGACATGGGCTCACTCAAGGCAGAGATCCTCCCTCACATTATCTCCCGGCAATTCATGAAGGAACCCACCAAGGAGCGCAGTGATAGGAAACTAGGTCAGTGACGTCATGTACGTATGTACATACATAAATACATTACTGTACATATTGTATATATTTTTTTAATACACTGGCCATCTCCCACCAAGGCAGGGTGACCTGAAAAAGAAGAAACAAAAGTTTTTCTTCTTTCTACATTTAGTAATTTTTACAGGAGAAGGTTACTAGTGCCTTGCTCCCAGCAGTTTAGTTGGCAATTTAGGAAGGATTCTTTTTCTACTTATCCTTGGAAGACATACATAAATACATTATATATATACATTTGGGCTCTGCTTATACAGCAGGTTAGGTTCCGGACTTCCGCTGTAAAGTGTAAAATGCTTCATAGCAATAGAACTAGGCCTAAAAAATGCATATACAGTGCACACATTACTTACCTTAAAATATTTTCATCCTCAGCTCATAGTGAGTGGTGAATATATTTATTGTAGGAAGTCTGAATAAATGAGAATGGATATAATTGAAAGCTGCTGTACATATTAGCAAAACGCTGTAAAGCAGAGTGCTGTAAAGTGGGGCCTGCCTGTATATTCATAAATGCACCATCAGTTCTTGATTATCTATGATTAGCCCAGGTAATGAAATGTAACTTTATAGACTAGGACTGCTCCTTTGTAGTGTCTTTTTTCTACTCTAATTATGGAACTGTTAAAAATTACCTATTCTAAATATTTCTCTAAAAATTCAGAGTAATGATTTTTTTTTCAAATTAACTAATATATGTTTTTAATTTTTCTTATACATTGTTAGATTGGCTGATGTCTTTTTTCTGTCTCATAAACATGCAAGATTTCAGGCATGCCTTGCTACTTCTATTTACGCTTAGGTCACACTACACATGCATGTACAAGTATATATATATACACACACCCTTCTGGGATTTCTTCTCTTTTCTTACTAGTTCTTTTTCTTCTTTATTTCCTCTTATCTCCATGGGGAAGTGGAACAGAATTCTTCCTCCGTAAGCCATGCGTGTCGTAAGAGGCGACTAAAATGCTGGGAGCAAGGGCCTAGTAACCCCTTCTCCTGTATACATTACTAAATTTATAGAGAAACTTTTGTTTTTCTTTTTGGGCCACCCTGCCTCGGTGGGATATGGCTGGTGCATTGAAACAAGAAAGATTTTGCTTAAGTATCTTGAACAAGATTTGGAATTTTTTTTTTTCAACGAACCAGCCATATCCCACCGGGGCTGGGTGACCTAAAAAAGGAAAACAAAAGTTTCTCTTTTTAAATTTAGTAATGTATATAGGAAAAGGGGTTTCTAGCTCCTTGCTCCCGGCATTTTAGTCACCTCCCACGACACACATGGCTTACGGAGGAAGATTTCTGGGTTTGGAAGTTCGTGTATATAATCTGTAATGGAGTGGCATATACCCATCCAACCAAGACATCTCTTAGAACTAATTTCCATGAAATATGGGACTCAATTGTGTGCATTTTTAACAAACTTTTATTTTTTCCAGATATCCATGATGTAATGGAAAAGGAAGAATATGATGATTTGGTGAGAAAATACAACAGCAGTGTGGTATTGTCAAGACACCATAATTCCTGCCAGCTAGACTCTAGAGTGTGTTATGTCTATCATTATCAAGGCTGCTGTGTCAGGGCAAACACCCTCAACTCATATTGGGAACTTAATAGAAGGGTCAGTCAGCAGATCTCTGGTGAGGTTTGCTAGAGATCTCTTGCCTTGTATAACATTAGAGGAACTTTATAAGGCCATTTACTGGCACAAAAAATCCTTGTCGGACATTGTGGTTGATGTATATCTACATCTTTGCTGCTTTATAATATCTTGCAATCACTTATTTTTGCTAAGCATAATGTACTGTACTTATGACTCTCACTTATATAATAGTATAGTGATAGTCAGCTCACTCCTAACACCACATTCATATCCTTCATGCAGAATTTAATTTATTTAAAAAGTAGCACTGTGCATAGATATATAAAATTTAGTACTGTACATTGATGCATAATTGTGAAAATGTGTGAGGCTAAGACAAGATGAAAACTAAGCAGAAACATTTCAGTTATTGAATAAATACAATGATGCAAGTTGAATTAAACAAATTATTAATTATAATTCGCAAAATGGGGCTTAAGAAGTAGAGCAAGTGTGAACTACTCATATATCTCTCGCTACCAGTCATGACATTGCCAATATTGTTCATTTCTGCCTCCATCCCCACATTTATAATTACTCAGTTTCTGTGTATAAACACTACTGTGCATAAATAGCTACTGTACCATAATTCTCAAGTTTCTTTGCTAGATGCACTCCCTGTTTGAGGAAGTTTACCCAAACTCAACATGGAGCATCAAACATCCATCTGCAGATATCCAGGAGAGAGCTCAAGTGAGTTTCAGAATATTTCACTGTACAGAGTAACCTGATAGTATATGAGGTGATGTAGATTATAAAAAATTATCTAATAAAACATGCATTGTATAATGAGATACTGTACATTAAATTTTTTAATGTATTTAGTGTACGATATATTTTGAATTGTAGACTCCTCAATCCTTTTGAGGGGCTTGTGATCAGAGGAATTGGATCAAACCTGATTGCCTCCTATTTCCCTAGGCTCTGTATGACCCTTATGGGTTTAGCACTTCTTCCATGAATTTACTAAACTGAGTACAAGTGCTAACAGTCATTTAGGTATGGAAACAAGAGGTAAGGAGTTAGCTTATTTTAGATAACAGTTTGCTTTTAATGAGATTTTTTAATATACCAGATTTTTTTTTTTTTTTTTTTTTTTTTTCCAACAAGTCGGCAGTCTCCCACCGAGGCAGGGTGACCCAAAAAAGAAAGAAAATCCCCAAAAAGAAAATACTTTCATCATCATTCAACACTTTCACCACACTCGCACATTATCACTGTTTTTGCAGAGGTGCTCAGAATACAACAGTTTAGAAGCATACACATATAAAGATACACAACATATCCCTCCAAACTGCCAATATCCCAAACCCCTCCTTTAAAGTGCAGGCATTGTACTTCCCATTTCCAGGACTCAAGTCCGACTATATGAAAATAACCGGTTTCCCTGAATCCCTTCACTAAATATTACCCTGCTCACACTCCAACAGATCGTCAGGTCCCAAGTACCATTCGTCTCCATTCACTCCTATCTAACACGCTCACGCACGCTTGCTGGAAGTCCAAGCCCCTTGCCCACAAAACCTCCTTTACCCCCTCTCTCCAACCCTTTCGAGGACGACCCCTACCCCGCCTTCCTTCCCCTATAGATTTATATGCTTTCCATGTCATTCTACTTTGATCCATTCTCTCCAAATGACCAAACCACCCCTCTTCTGCCCTCTGACTAATACTTTTATTAACTCCACACCTTTTCCTAATTTCCACACTCCGAATTTTCTGCATAATATTTACACCACACATTGCCCTTAAACAGGACATCTCCACTGCCTCCAACCGTCTCCTCGCTGCTGCATTTACCACCCAAGCTTCACACCCATATAAGAGTGTTGGTACTACTATACTTTCATACATTCCCTTCTTTGCCTCCATAGATAACGTTTTTTGACTCCATATATACCTCAACGCACCACTCACCTTTTTTCCCTCATCAATTCTATGATTAACGTCATCCTTCATAAATCCATCTGCCGACACGTCAACTCCCAAGTATCTGAAAACATTCACTTCTTCCATACTCCTCCTCCCCAATTTGATATCCAATTTTTCTTTATCTAAATCATTTGACACCTTCATCACCTTACTCTTTTCTGTTCACTTTCAACTTTCTACCTTTACACACATTCCCAAACTCATCCACTAACCTTTGCAATTTTTCTTTAGAATCTCCCATAAGCACAGTATCATCAGCAAAAAGTAACTGTGTCAATTCCCATTTTGAATTTGATTCCCCAAAATTTAATCCCACCCCTCTCCCGAACACCCTAGCATTTACTTCCTTTACAACCCCATCTATAAATATATTAAACAACCATGGTGACATTACACATCCCTGTCTAAGACCTATTTTTACTGGGAAGTAGTCTCCCTCTCTTCTACACACCCTAACCTGAGCCTCACTATCCTCATAAAAACTCTTTACAGCATTTAATAACTTACCACCTATTCCATATACTTGCAACATCTGCCACATTGCTCCTCTATCCACTCTATCATATGCCTTTTCTAAATCCATAAATGCAATAAAAACTTCCCTACCTTTATCTAAATACTGTTCACATATATGCTTCAATGTAAACACTTGATCTACACATCCCCAACCCACTCTGAAACCTCCTTGCTCATCCGCAATCCTACATTCTGTCTTACCTCTAATTCTTTCAATAACCCTACCATACACTTTTCCTGGTATACTCAGTAAACTTATTCCTCTATAATTTTTACAGTCTCTTTTGTCCCCTTTCCCTTTATATAAAGGGAAATACAGAAATACCAGAAATACAGATTATTATAATCAACGGTACCAGAAATACAGAAATAATTGCTAATGTAAAGGGTTTTAGATATACCAGAAATATACAGAAATAGTTGCTAATGAAGGTTTTGATATACCAGAAATAGTTGCTAATATAGGGTTTGAGATATACACTAGAAATACACACAAATAGTTGCTAATGATAGGTCTGGTGGGGCTGAAGCAAGACAGACCAGGATCATGGGAACCATTAACACAGGACTTCAGTCATTTCATAATTTGTGATTACATGCGCTAAAGAGTTATGGAGAGTATTGCTGAGTCACTTTTGAGAATGGAATGTATGGAACGTTTTTTAAATTTAACAAGTTTACTAATTAGTATAATTTGTTTACAAAGTTTACCTTTAATAGTAATTTCTTTAATAGGTGAGTGACGACAGTTTAATTGGCTCTGGGTCTGTTATATGCGAGAAGACCAATATAACAAATTCTGTCGTAGGAAACCACTGCCGTATTAACCCCTTCGTTCGTTTACTAAACTGTGTTTTGGGTGATCACATCACTATTGCATCAGGGTAAGTCAAAATTTTCTGTATTGTAAATTGGTTTTTATTTTGCATGCTGCATTTTGCTTTTCCACTCTTTGCTTTCAAACTCAGGCAAAGGCTACTTTCTGATACATACTACTAAAGTCTTCTAGCTCAAACTGACTGATTTTATTACATTATCTTAAACCCTATTCTGTGTGACAAGATAACAATAGGGGTGTGTTATGTAAACATGGTTTAACTGTTGCTGTAACCTTAAAAAATCTCATACTGCATAGATCAGGGTAGTTACACTATGTGGCGTATCTAACTTTGGTAATACATAAAATGTATGCAGACCTTATCATGTGCTTTCTGTAAGTCAGAAATCATACAGGTAGTAACCCTCACCTACATAGTAACAGGGAAGCATATCACTCCTGTGTAAGTGGAGATTCAAAGAAAGTCAAACAGGAATGCTGACTGAGTCCTCCCTTCTAACCTTAAAATCTTTCCAGTCCAAATTGAGTTTCAGGTTGTTTAACTTTTATGCCCTCACTTTAAAACCTGCATTTGATCATGAAGTGTGTAAGACGGTTTTTTTCCATCATAAATGGCAGTTATGATTAGATAACTTATTGATGAAAGTGTTTGTTACATTTATGTTAATGAGAACTCTGTTTGGTCGCCTGTATCCAAACACATGGCCAGGGACAGAAAAAGAATTAGCGGAAACTTACTGCATATGTTGTTTCTCTCATATTTCTGTTAGTAATTCAGTGTCTCACCTACTCACCTTTTACTCTGAAATTTTGATCTATGCTAAACATGTGAGGAAATTGTCTTTGTACAGTATTATTATCTCTTAAATTTTGTTTCAAGTGTGCATGTCTTAACACTAAGTTAGACCATTTCTTCTCAAACTCTTTACCTTCTCATAGAATGACAGTAATTAATTTTCAGATGTGTGATAGAAAACAGTTTGATTGCTGCTAATGTGGAGAAGAAATGTACCATTAAAAACTGCATTGTAACTGACCCAAACAAGATTGAGGAAAACAGTGAGTACATGACAATATTACACCTAGTACCAAGATAGGGCTACAGTGTGCACATTTGCATATTACATCATTAGTTAGGGTTACAGTGTGTACATTATGCTCTGTATCTTCTCCAGCAGGCAGGGAATTTACATTTTAATTTTTTTGTATGATTTGTACCTTCTGTAGCAACTGTAGTGCATTGTACATGTTACTTTTGATATCTAATTATCCAACAGATAACTGGATATCCAGTATTAACTTTTATGTCATACATTTAGAGCAGTAAATAACACATGAACTACATTTAACTTTTACCAATCATAGTAAATTTCATTGCTAAATATATAATGTAGTTGCTACCTGTTTATGGTGGATAGATGAAATATCCACTATTTTTAGGCTTACTTGGTTTTTTGTCAATATGTGCAGCATTTCACTTGGAATGGTAGACTTTAAGAATACAGTAATTCTTTACATTTAGTGAATAATCGCAAGTAATGATTCTTAGGAAGAGTGTGTTGACATTTCTTGGATCGATGTAAATATATGTTAAAGGTGAAATAAAGATACTGTATTGTATTTTCTTGAAAACTGTCACATTGACATTCTCTCAACAGAAACCTACATGAATGAAATTCTGGAAGCATCACAAGATTTTGCATAGTAGCAGGGAGAACTGGAAGATGAACACCGCAAGTACACGAAGTCCCCATCTTACAAATACCAAAGTTCTCAACATCCACACTGAGGAATGGGGCACCTGGAAGTCAATTCAGTCTGTAAAAATCTGCAATTAATAACACGTGTGAATCATAACTATCCTTTATACTATTATTTTCTGTTTGAAAATATGTTCCAAACATGAAGAATAAAGTCACAATATTGTGGCTGGAACAGTGCTCAAATAACCCATACTTAGGAGACAAACTTATGACAACATGAGGGCATTGACTCCCCTCCAGATATACTCCAGGTAACGTTTTGGTCTGACTTGTTAATGGTCGAAGTTGGACCGAAATATCGTTGTAAGTTTTGGTCTCCTAAGTACAGGTTATTTGTGTAATGTTTCAGATTTGTAAGTTGAAACCATAAGTATACTCCTTGTTCATGAATTAGGAACTCCCTGTATGTCAACCTTGAAACTTCATTTTGATGTAGTATGTACTACTTTATATCATATTCAGATATGCTCTTACTTAAAACTGTGCTTTGTAACACTGGAAATAAAATCATCATGCTTTCCATCTGTATAACTGTATATTTTATATTTTACCTTTGTAATTGTAAACTAGGTTAAACAGATAAAGGAGAGCATTTTAGGGATTATTTTCATAAAGTCCAGTGAAGGGCATCTCTGGTGTGGGCTGAAGCCAATTGCGTGGATCCCAAGTTGTGTTGTGGCGTTCAATCACATGGAAGGTATAAATTTGTCGTGATTTTGAGGAAGTATTTTTCTCACTCTTGTGATCCACCTGACCGTCAATGAGCACTAGTGTACCTGCACAAACAAATAGAGTATACAGTTTATGGCATGCATAGTGCATTTATTATTACAGTATATTCCTGAAGAGATTGTAAAAATTATAGAGGAATAAGTTTACTGAGTGTACCAGGAAAAGTGTATGGTAGGGTTATTGAAAGAATTAGAGGTAAGACAGAATGTAGGATTGCGGATGAGCAAGGAGGTTTCGGAGTGGGTAGGGGATGTGTAGATCAAGTGTTTACATTGAAGCATATATGTGAGCAGTATTTAGATAAAGGTAGGGAAGTTTTTATTACATTTATGGATTTAGGAAAGGCATATGATAGAGTGGATAGGGGAGCAATGTGGCAGATGTTGCAAGTATATGGAATAGGTGGTAAGTTACTAAATGCTGTAAAGAGTTTTTATGAGGATAGTGAGGCTCAGGTTAGGGTGTGTAGAAGAGAGGAAGACTGCTTCCCGGTAAAAGTAGGTCTTAGACAGGGATGTGTAATGTCACCATGGTTGTTTAATATATTTATAGATGGGGTTGTAAAAGTAAATGCTAGGGTGTTCGGGAGAGGGGTGGGATTAAATTATGGGGAATCAAATACAAAATGGGAATTAACACAGTTACTTGTTGCTGATGATACTGTGCTTATGGGAGATTCTAAAGAAAAATTGCAAAGGTTAGTGGATGAGTTTGGGAGTGTGTGTAAAGGTAGAAAGTTGAAAGTGAACATAGAAAAGAGTAAGGTGATGAGGGTATCAAATGATTTAGATAAAGAAAAATTGGATATCAAATTGGAGAGGAGGAGTATGGAAGAAGTGAATGTTTTCAGATACTTGGGAGTTGACATGTCGGCGGATGGATTTATGAAGGATGAGGTTAATCATAGAATTGATGAGGGAAAAAAGGAGAGTGGTGCGTTGAGGTATATGTGGAGTCAAAAAACGTTATCTATGGAGGCAAAGAAGGGAATGTATGATAGTATAGTAGTACCAACACTCTTATATGGGTGTGAAGCTTGGGTTGTGAATGCAGCAGAGAGGAAGCGGTTGGAGACAGTGGAGATGTCCTGTCTAAGGGCAATGTGTGGTGTACGTATTATGCAGAAAATTCGGAGTGTGGAAATTAGGAGAAGGTGTGGAGTTAATAAAAGTATTAGTCAGAGGGCTGAAGAGGGGTTGTTGAGGTGGTTTGGCCATTTAGAGAGAATGGATCAAAGTAGAATGACATGGAGAGCATTTAAATCTGTAGGAGTAGGAAGGCAGGGTAGGGGTCGTCCTCGAAAAGGTTGGAAGGAAGGGCTAAGGGAGGTTTTGTGGGCGAGGAGCTTGGACTTCCAGCAGGCGTGCATGAGCGTGTTCGATAGGAATGAATGGAGACGAATGGTATTTGGGACCTGACGATCTGTTGGAGTGTGAGCAGGGTAATATTTAGTGAAGGGATTCAGGGAAACTGGTTATTTTTATATAGCCGGACTTGAGTCCTGGAAATGGGAAGTACAATGCCTGCACTCTAAAGGAGGGGTTCGGGATATTAGCAATTTGGAGGGATATGTTGTGTATCTTTATACGTATATGCTTCTAAACTGTTGTGTTCTGAGCACCTCTGCAAAAACAGTGATTATGTGTGAGTGAGGTGAAAGTGGTGAATGATGATGAAAGTATTTTCTTTTTGGGGATTTTCTTTCTTTTTGGGCCACTCTGCCTCGGTGGGAGACGGCCGACTTGTTGAAAAAAAAAAAAATCCTGAAAATAGAGGGGTTTGGGATATTGGCAGTTTGGAGGGATATGTTGTGTATCTTTAAACGTATATACTTCTAAGCTGTTGTATTCTGAGCACCTCTGCAAAGACTGATTGTGTGTGAGTGAGGTGAAAGTGTTGAATGATGATGAAAGTATTTTCTTTTTGGGGATTTTCTTTCTTTTTTGGGTCACCCTGCTTCAGTGGGAGACAGCCGACTTGTTAAAAACAAAAAATCCTGAAAAATGCTAAGCTCGTGTGTTTTTCAGTGCTACATTGTAGGGCTGAGATGAATGGTTGAGGAAAACAAGAGGTAGAGTATAGGAAAGGACAGTGGCAGAAAGGATGAGGAAGGAGAGGTGTCATAGTTAATATTGGACATCAGTGTCTATAAAGGAATCAGAGAGAAAATCTGCTTAGCACTTACGCCTGAAATGAAGTTGCTGTGCTATGACAAGCAAGGCAATTCATCCAAATATGGTGGATTATCATTAGTGCATGACAGTGTATGTAGCAGCTGTAACTAAAATCAAGTGACTTGAGTAGATGCAAGGGATATTTTTTAATTTTATTTCCCTTGCATAAGTTTTGATATCTTCCAATTATCTTTAGCAGCATTATGACTTTAAATGTTTTAAACTGGCCTTCTTTCTGCTGGGGGTATTTTAAGTAATTAAAGCTGTATGACTCCTTCAGGTTTAGCACTTAACCTGATATGATGATGATTATTATTATTATTATTATTATTATTATTATTATTATTATTATTATTATTATTTTCATGTAATTTAAGAACACACATAATCAGTAAAACTATTATGTATAGAAGTAGGAGGAGAGGACTAGTTCACTCCACCAATTACTGCAAATAGTATTTATGCTGCTAATGACTTTCACCACTTTAATTATAGAGCTACATTCTTCAACAGGGGTGCCTTGATGTTATAGAGCTCTTGTTCCCAGGAATTGAAGCCATCCTTCCCTTTTTGGGATCAAACTTATTTTCCTCCCATTACTCATGTGGTGTGTGAACCCTATAGGTTTAGCACTATCCTTTGAATATAATAATACTATAGTCCATTTAGATTGTTATTTTATACATTAATTCCTCAGCAAAAGGTGATTTTTTTTTTCAATATGTTGGTCATCTCCCACTGAGGCAGGGTGACCTAAAATTCTGACTCAACCTTCCATATAAATTAGTTCCCTTCAAGGAAGATACTGGTGAGTGGCTCTTAGTCCAAGAAACTGAACCTGTTCAATTCCTGTATGATCCCTACAGTGCCTGGTGAATTAACTTTTAATTTTTTTTATAAGTTAATGTGCTTGGTGTTAGTCACTGATAAACATAAGATTATTAATACTGTATATGATTAATTTCAGACGTAACCTTTTGGGACAGGGATGGGGATGTACTTGCTTGGGTCATCAGGATCAGGAGGAGAAGTGAAGCACGTCAGGTCACCGGTCTTATCAGGGTTTCGGATGAACCTGTGGAAAACAGGAAATATTTAAGATGCTTTAACATAGATAATTACAGCTATGGGTACCCACAGGACTGGGCAAGAGGGAGCATATGCTCCTCTTGTGTTTTACTACTAAACTATACTTGGCCAAACATCACCTGCTGTTCGGCTACCTCTCATCAGAGAGAGACACCATTATATAGGTCTATACGGCTTTTAAATAATTGTTCTGTAATAGCTTATCCTATATATATAGGCTCCATGTTTTGTTGCCGCATGCCTCCCCTTGAATATATTTCTGTGGGTGTCCGTGAATGAAGCTCAATAAAACAACTTTTTTTTTATGTACACGCTGTCCATCTCCTACTGTGGCAGGGTGACCCCCCCCCCCCCCAAAAAAAAAAAAAAAAAAACTTTCACAGGGTAATATATGTATATAGTATTACCCTGTTCTCCCTCTAAAGCAATGACTCCATTTTTCTTATAAATTTCCTTGGAGATAGGAGTACCAGTTACCAATTAATTTTAAAGGAATCATATAAGGAAAGAATCACCAATGCTCCTGAATATGAGGTTGTCATTTTACTGTATCACTGCACCATGGGTAATATAAAGGTTATACCATAAATTTTTTTTTCTGGAAATGTGATATCAGTGCACTATTGGAAAGGCAGCTAAGGAGTGAATAATGCTGAATGTGTTTCCTTAGCATGATCATTGTTCATTAGTTGGAAATAGGTATGTTTAAAAGTGGCAATGGTTAAAATCAAGCATGTTTATGTAATTTGAATGGTTGTGTAACACTTTAGATTCTAGCCTAAATTTGCATCTTACACAACTATTTCAGCTGATGTCCTACCCTCAGCACTTCCATCCTTCCTTACTCTCCACCGTCATTTTTTTGACTCCTGCCATGTAGCCCTTTGACAGGAATGCCTTGTTGCTGCTGAAGGGTTCTGTATCTTAAAAAAATGAAGCTACCCTCCTCTTCTGTGGATCAAACCTGATTACTGTATCACTATTCCTCAGGTGGTGTATGCATCTTAGAGTTTAATGCTTCCTCACAAATAACAGGGCTGACCTACGATTGGTAGGGCTCTTGTGTGAGCCAGGACTGAACCAAAGGCAGCCATTCTCTAAGGTGACATCTTCCAGGGCAAACCAGAAGCCAATGCAGCTCTGTGGCTCCGTTGACAGAAAAGTGGAATCCTTGTGAGGGGTGACTGTTGGAACAAAATATACCTTACATTATATAACAAAACTACACTCATGTAAAGCAGCTAGTGTAAGGATAATCAGAAATGTTTATCATGGAAATAATGCTGTATATAGATTAAACTGGCAAAAAAAGGATAAAGGGCAACAGTTGAGTGACCTTCATATCTTCAGCACTTTTTTTGTGAATGTAATAATTATTGACCACCACTCAAGGATGGTGGTTTGTTGCCAGTGAGGAATTCTTAATCCAAGGAAATAAACCTATCCTCCCTTTCCTTGGATCAAACCTAATTACCTCCCATTCTTGGTATACAACCTTCTACAGATTTACGCTTATCTTTGAAAATAATAGTAACACTGGACATGTCAACCTTGAAAATATTGCATATCATATTGTACAGAATAAATATATATATTTATATCCTGAAGTCAGCACTGTATGACCCTTGTGAGTTTAGTGCTTAGTTCTAATTGTAATTACAATATAGCCTGGAGTTCTAAGAAACAGTCAGTTGATCATTACTTATCCTTCAAGGGGAGGGAAGTGGTACCTTGATGCTGGTATAGGACTCAGCACAAGAAATTAGAACTTCCCTTCTTAGTCTCCCTCCCTCTCTTCATCAAGCACAACTATACAGAAATGCATTAATTTTTTGTTAAACAGAGCAAAGTTGGCTTGACCTTCTCCTCCAATGCCTGGTTGCTTGAAGATGTACATAGACTGCACTACAGCTGGGGAAACAAAGCCAAGCTGCTGGGCCACCTTCTTCATCTTGGTAGAGAAGGACACTTTCTTAAACTCTGGCACCAGCCAGTGGAGGGCATGACCAATCTTGTTGAGTGCCAAGTGCTTGTCAACCTACAGGAGCAGATAACAGCAAAAATAAGTTTTAATTCCAGAACTGACAAATAATTTTGCAGTGGTATAAATTTATGCATTGGTTCTGAAAATCCATAGATTTTTTTTTTTTTTTTCCAACAAGTCGGCCGTCTCCCACCGAGGCAGGGTGACCCAAAAAAGAAAGAAAATCCCCAAAAAGAAAATACTTTCATCATCATTCAACACTTTCACCACACTCGCACATTATCACTGTTGTAGATGTTGTAGGTAAATATCTGTGATACATTATGTACATTTAGACAAGGATAATACAGTAAAGTTAGTGTGAATCATTTCCACTTGAGTTCCTTAAATACGTCGCTGTATGACCCTTACCCCTCAAGGGAGGTTCCTTGATGCTGGTGAGGGGCTTTCAATCTAGGGAATTGGATCTGTGCTTGAATTCCTTGAATTAAGCCTGAATGTCTTCCATTCCCTCCCTCTTGGGCACTGCATAATCCCTGTGGGTTTAGCACACCCCATAATAATAATGTGACCCTTAAGAGTTTAGTGCTTTGTTATAACAATAATAATCCTTAAATACGTGATGCGTTTCACTAAATTCTTGGAGATAAATATACATGATGAATAAGACATGCAACACCTGGGTATGATTTAGCACTTAATTTCCATTTTAATAATAATAACACCTGGGCATATTTATTCTGAAGAGGTTTTGCCAACCTGCGCTGTATAGCCCTTGTGGCTTAGCGCTTCTTTTTGATTATAATAATAATTTGCCAACCTGTTGCTTTATCAGTAGAGAGATTGTAAGTATGACAGAGTGGATAGGGGGCAATGTGGCAGATATTGCAGGTGTATGGTATAGTAGGTAGGTTACTGAAAGGAGTGAAGAGTTTTTATGAGGATAGTGAGGCTCAGGTTAGAGTATGTAGGAGAGGGAGATTATTTCCCAGTAAAAGTAGGTCTTAGACAAGGATGTGTGATGTCACCGTGGTTGTTTAATATATTTATAGATGGGGTTGTAAGAGAAGTGAATGCTAGGGTCTTGGCAAGAGGTGTGGAGTTAAAAGATAAAGAATCAAATACAAAGTGGGAGTTGTCACAGTTGCTCTTTGCTGATGACACTGTGCTTTTGGGAGATTCTGAAGAGAAGTTGCAGAGGTTGGTGGATGAATTTGGTAGGGTATGTAAAAGAAGAAAATTGAAAGTGAATATAGGAAAGAGTAAGGTTATGAGGATAAGATTAGGTGACAAAAGATTGGATATCAGATTGGAGAGAGTATGGAGGAGGTGAATGTATTCAGATATTTAGGAGTGGATGTGTCAGCAGATGGGTCTATGAAGGATGAGGTAAATCATAGAAGGGAATGTATGAGAGATATAGTTGTACCAACAATCTTGTATGGGTGTGAAGCATGGGTGATGAATGTTGCAATGAGGAGAAGGCTGGAGGCAATGGAAATGTCATGTCTGAGGGCAATGTGTGGTGTGAATATAATGCAGAGAATTCATAGTTTGGAAATTAGGAGAAGGTGTGGGATTACCAAAACTATTATCCAGAGCGCTGAGAAGGGGTTGTTGAGGTGGTTCGGACATGTAGAGAGAATGGAACAAAACAGAATGACTTCTAGAGTGTATAAATCTGTAGTGGAGGAAAGGCGGGGTAGGGGTCGGCCTAGGAAGGGTTGGAGGGAGGGGGTAAAGAAGGTTTTGTGTGCGAGGGGCTTGGACTTCCAGCAAGTGTGCATGAGCGTATTTAATAGGAGTGAATGGAGACAAATGGTTTTTAATACTTGACTTGCTGTTGGAGTGTGAGCAAAGTAACATTTATGAAGGGAGTCAGGGAAATCGGCAGGCTGGACTTGAGTCATGGAGATGGGAAGTACAGTGTCTGCACTCTGAAGGAGGGGTGTTAATGTTGCGTTTTATAACTGTAGTGTAAAGCATGCCTCTGGCAAGACAGTGATGGAGTGAATGATGATAAGTTTTTCTTTTTCGGGCCACCCTGCCTTGGTGGGAATCCACCGATGTGTTAATAAAAAATAATAAAAAAAGACTAAGTCACTGGTTGGTGAAATATCCTCAGAATGAAGATACCCGGGCATTGAACATGTGTCTTTATTCATCACCTTGATATTATATACCATTACTGCTATCAGAAGTATACATATCCTACAAGGGGTTGCCTTGATGCTGGTAAAATCCTCTTGATCCAAGGAATTGGAGGTACCCTTCCTTTCCTTGGATCAAATCTGTTTACCTCCCATTCCCCAGGAACTGGTATAACCCCTATTTGTTTAGCACTACCCTAATGAATGTCATAAAAATGACTGTTCTTATTGCAATTGAATATATGATTATGCTCATTTAGATGGAACTTCCCAAGTTATATTATACCAATTTGAATTTTTTTTCTTTAAATGTGGTCCCATTAAGGGAGGTGCCTTGAAGTCGGTGGGAGAGGGGTCTTGATCCAAAAGAACTGATCTTCCTTAAATCAAACCTAAATGCCTCCCATTCCCAAGATGCTTCATGACCCCTAAGACAGGGTTTAGCATTTCTCCCAGATTAAATAAAAATAAAATGTGGTGAGTTAAATTACAGAAAATATCAAATATGAATACTAAAATTTATATAAATATAACTGATACAATTATTGTTGCCCTTAAAAATATAGAATGGTGGAAACCGGTGGTACAAGCCCAGCCTTGGGCAACAAATTTTTTCTCGTACCATCGAGAAACGGGGCTCGATACGCCTTATTCTGTCAGTGGCCCTGATAAACCCAACAAAGAAGAAGAACTGGTGGTACAAACTGCCAGAGGTACTTATAGTCAAGATGAAGCTGAAAAGTACCGACATCCACCAGTCTACTGATTTTCCTGGATTTACCATAGATATGTGATTCATCTTGCATGGATGAAACAAAAAGGTAAAAAAAAGGGAAAGGGAGAAAGATATATATATATATATATATATATATATATATATATATATATATATATATATATATATATATATATATATATATATATATATATAAAAGAGAGAGAGAGAGAGAGAGAGAGAGAGAGAGAGAGAGAGAGAGAGAGACAGACAGACAGACAGATAGAGACAGAGAGACAGACAGACTGACTTAAAAACAAGAAAATCTGCTTACTTTAAGTTCATTGTTACTGTCGAGTGCCTCTTGTTCAAAGAAGAAGTGTACTTTGTCTCCACTCTCCAAGAAGTATGAACTACGAGCCTGTCAAGTATGAAACAAAAAGAATGAATAACGATCTTGGGTCATGCCTTATTACCTCACATTCCCAGTTATTATTACCATGGGGGAGCGCTAAACTCGTAGTGAATATATAGCGCCTGTGGGGGGGAAGAGGCACTCAGGGAACTGGAGTGCAGAATCACTGCAGATCCAATTCCCTAGATCAAGAAAGAATGATACTTAACAGACTGTACTACAGAATTAGATACCAACTGTGGAAAATTGCATTTATCTGTATGTAACTCATTATGTACATAACAGTAAATAGCAAAGATAATTATTATTTATCAATGTTAATAGACAAGTAGGAATTTGGGACACCTAGGTCGCAAAAAATGTCCCCCTTCGATACCTTCCACTGTCATATCCACAAGTTGCTCTGGACCTATTAATTATTAATGAAATATACATCACCAGGAATGCTGGTAAATATATAAATTTGTGGACTGTATATTAAAATTAAAAAAAGATTATAGTATATACACACATTTATATAACAGAAGGAGAATATGTCTTAATCATAACACTCACCAATTTGACTGCAGATTAATGTGTATCATACTCAGAAAACCTCACTGTCTATCTATGAAAATAACACTGGCCAGGTTACTACATAAGACTTATCTGAGGTTCCTGGAGCTGTCTTGTCCAGTCGCCTGATATCTCAAGTTATGCAGGAATGCACATCCAACAATTTCGTCTCTTATTTGAGAGGTGTCAGCTCAATTTTAACCTCTAGAGCACGAAAAATTCTTCCCATTACACCAACGTTTCTAATCCAAATTCAAACAAAATGGCGACTCACTACCCAGCCGCAGGTTTCCCATTTTTGATAACATACTTCTTTTAAAAATACAATATAGGGCATCTATTTACCTATAAATTACCGTATTTCCGGAAAATTTATACAGTATTTTCCACACCAACTTTCCCCCTACCTCTATGGGTTCATGAAAGGTAAAAGTGTGCAGAACTGTATTTCCACCTTTCTCACTGCACACACCTCTACTAGTTTTACCACTTTTCTTGATCTAAAATTTGCATTTGATATTGAGAACAGAACCGTTCGTTATACTACATGAACTAGCCAAAATGAATATTGGTGGTAGCTTACTCTGCTGGATAATAGGATACCAGTCAAATAGAGTATCCTCTGTCCTTTACCAAGGCTTTAGAAGTGAGTCTAAAGAAATGTCTTTAGGCACACCGCAGGGAGGAGTTCTCAGTCCCATGCTATTTAATATTCTGATTAATGCTCTCCTAAATGCTCTATCTGCCTCACCTAAACATATAGCTATAAGCTATGCTGATGACATCATGATCCATACAACAGGGCATAAGAAGATGAATACCATTCTTAATGAAGTTCAAGGAATTTGTAATCTACTAAGCCTCATAATATCTTCCTCTAAAACAAAGATATTAACAAGCAAACGACATCCCCCACCCATTTATTTGCAGGGTGAAAACATTAGCTACGTTAAAACTTACAGATATCTTGGTGTAGATGTACCCTTTAACAAATCCACTAAACTAAATAAGAAATGCAAAGATAGGCTAAATGCTCTCAAAGCTGTTGCTGGCTACAGCCCCAACTATGGTGCTAATGTTACTGGCTACAACCCCAACTATGGTGCTAATGTGAAAATCGTGAGAATGATGTACATAGCCTATGTTAAGTCCTTAACTGATTATGCTGCTCCCGTGTTGACAGTAGCTAGAGAAAGTTGTCTCTGACCCTTGGAGTTAATGCAAAATGAAACTCTCAGAATTATTCTTGGGTGTCCCAAATCTACAAAGGTTTTTAATATGAGGAAGGAGCTGGGTATTTTTAGTATCAGTGATAGGATTGTTGAGATTAACACTGTACTCGGTATTATAATGTTAAGAAATGACCCAGACACTGTCACAATGAACCTTACTAAGTGTCTAGAGGTAAATATACGCAGATCTAAATGGATTGTGAAATCGTGCAATTGCATAAAGTTTTATAACCTGCATGAACTGTATCACTGTAGACAACAAGAGCATTTCACCCCTCCATGGAAGATGTGTTCATTTAATATCACATACCTGCAAGTCCCTCCCAAAAAACTCATTGCTAGTAATCCCTTCCTTAAATTACTTGTTAAAGCAACTGCTTAAGAAGAAATTTCTCGCCTAGCTGGTAGTAATAAGTTATCACAAGTTATATACACTGATGGATCTAAACAGGAGTCTTCTGGCAGGGCTGCATCTGCTTTTGTTGCCACCTCCCTAGTTAAGAATGATAATAAATTTGAGTTTGGCATAAGAATTAACAATTGGGTGTCTACACTGTAAACTGAATTGTTTGCAATCCTAATGGCGCTAAAGCTAACCTATGACACTGTGTGTGTGTGTGTGTGTGTGTGTGTGTGTGTGTGTGTGGTGTGTGTGTGACTCAACAATCAATATTTGCACCAATAACTCATTACAGTTGTGACCGGGTGTGGAAGTGTGAATTGCTCATTACTCTATAATTTGTTCATGATTGTAGCCAAAGTATAAACGTAAGTAACCATTCTACAGAATTCATTACCTTTGTAACTTGTGAGCTCATTGCCTTTGTACCTAGTTCAGCTATCAAAACTTTGGGGGCCCAGTCCCTGGACCCATTACGTACCTCTGTAATCTGTAAATACCTTTGTAACTTGTCATGATTGTGACCAGACTTACCTGGAGTTCATTACCTTTGTAAATTGTGAGTTCATTACCTTTGTAAATTGTGAGTTCATTACCTTTGTAAATTGTGAGTTCGTTGCCTCTGTAACTTGCTCAGCTATCAAAACTTTGGAGTCCAGTCCCTGGACCAATTATGTACCTCTGTAATCTTTTGACTACCGCCCACAGGATGGGTATGGGGTGCATAATAAACATATTAAACTAAAACTAAAACTGACACTGAGCTTGACCTATCATCATTACTGATTCTATGTCATCATTGAAGGCTCTTGACTCATATAATGACTCCAACAACATGCTCATTGGAGAAGCCGGGTATAGATACTAAAAAATCAGGGACAAAGGGATTAATGTACAATTGCTATGGATCCCATCACACATTGGATTACTCCATGATAAAGTTGATATGTTAGCCAAGAAGAGTACCCAGAAGGAGAATGTAGAATATAAATTTGGTATATCTGTGTCTAGCATTAGGAATAATATTAGGAGATAAGTAAATAATGAAAATGATTGTTATAGGAATGCAGTAAGAAGCCTGAGTAGACCTATAACCCACTATGATAACATGAACGTAGATAAGTATGTTTATGGAGCAACGTGCAATGTGAACAGACTGACTGATGTTGTAGTGGCCAGGCTTAGGCTTGGTTACAAGTACTGACTGATGTTGTACTGGCCAGGCTTAGGCTTGATTACAAGTACTGACTGATGTTGTAGTGGCCAGGCTTAGGCTTGGTTACAAGTACTAACTTATGCTGTAGTGGCCAGGCTTAGGCTTGGTTTTTACTGACTGATGTTGTAGTGGCCAGGCTTAGGCTTGGTTAAAAGTACTTCTGGCAGTTTGGGAGACACACAGATGATCAAATTAAATGCAAATTATGTGATCAGGCATATGGTCACTGTCTTGAACACTATGTGCTTAATTGTCCACTTATTGAGGAATACAGAGACAGACAGTATAATAACCTATGTGACATCCAGATATACTAAGCAAATTTCCAAAATTTGCTTGTAACAGATAAGTGAACTGTAGATATGTAGATATAAACCCATATGTACACCTGTTAACATTTTTGGGGCCTAGTTCCTAGGCCTTTTGTGTATCCATATGCTCTTGTGCTACTGTCCACAGGATGGATATGGGGTGCACAATAAACTAGCCACTTCAGTGGCAAAATCTAATCTAGATCAAAAGCCCCTCACCAGGATCAAGGAACCTCTATTGAGGGGTCCCATTCCCAAGCAGGTGTAATAACCTTACGGGTTTTGCGCTTTTCCACTAATATAATAGTATAAAGTTTTAATTTGGTCGTCTCGCCATTCAAGAAAAGTTTACCTGTATCCCATAACCTCTGCCTCTTCTACCTCAACCACAGCAAGTAGCAACGAATTTGAACCTCCAACCCCTCCAGACAGCAGCAAACTCCCCGAAGAGTCCCAGGAGCTATAACTCAACCCTTCAAAGAGGCCCACCCAAAAACATAGATAATTTTTCTTTAAGGAAAGTGCATCAGCACTGAAAAAAATACCTTACATTTTTTGATGGTACAGTTAGCTGCTACTGTACACACTCCAGTAGCAAACTGACGTTGCCTCTGAGATACACTGGTACTAAAAGTTTGGAGCCAATCGGCAGAGGCATTATCATGTTATTGCATAAAAAGCTCAGGTGAACCACATAGTAAGCCAGAACTTCATATTCATATATTAGTATTGGTTCGTATCGTTCCAGCACCACTTGGCTCTTGTTAAACTCTAGGGAATATCACCAGGTAGTTGGTCTTCTATTTATTACAGAGAACACTGGTTTTAAGGAGACGCAAATTATTCTCCCATGAGTGACACACAGTAGATCATAACATTGTAAAAGAAAGTAATGGATATTTTTTTTAGATCACAGTTAAAGTTTCTTAAATCTTAACATTTAAACTGCTCATGGAAATTGTGTAATATATTGTATAATGAAGATTTAAATTCATGGGATGATTCGCAGAAGTGTGATTCACTTACGGTAATTTTACACTCTCCCAGAACTGTGGAACTGCTAAACTGACTCTAAAATATGAACTTAAATACCAGATCCATGGATTGTGAGCAGTATTACTGGGTTATCTGTGAGTTTGGATTCCAAGACGGCCACTTGTTAGGGCTTGATACTGCGTCAACTGTCATTGGTTCTGTATACCTCAAGCAAGACACTTGCTTTATATGCAACATTTTCACACATACACACATCATGTGGTATACGACTCATTTGTGATTCCACAAAATCCTGTCTAAGACTTTCCACGAAAGTTTGAACGTCTTTACCTCAATACACTGCTTAGGTGACAAAAATGTTGGGACCCAGTCCTTGGACCCATTATGCGCTGCCGTAATTTTTTGACTAAAGCTGACAGGATGAGTATATGGTACATGTGATAAGGCTGTCAAATTAGCTAAAACTAAACCACATCGTGCCCTCTATTATATACAGCCACAGTTGTGCACACCTGCTCTCGTTCCCTGTACCTGGCTTAGTGACTGTACCTGACTCAGTGCAGTACATGGCTCAGTACCCGTACCTGGTTATGATTAGTGGTGGAAAATATGGTGGGTGTGTGGAGTGATGGGTCCATAGCCTCCACCAGGTGTTTGCACGCTTCCCTCAGACCATCTGCTTCCTCCTCTGTTAAGAAGCCAGGCACACACACACACCCGTCTCTTCGGAACTTTGAAGCAATGATAATTAGAGAGAGACAATGGATATATTACTGTGATGTTTGTATGTGTCCTTACGTTATGGGTGATAATTTATTACATAAATAACCCACACATAGGAGAGAGGAGCTTACAACGACGTTTCGGTCCGGCTTGGATCATTTACAAAGTCACACTAACAAAAATGAGAGGAAGGAGTATATATAGGCCAACAGACAGGGACGGGATAAGAGAGGTAGTAGGAAAGGAAGAAGAGAGGTTTACCTGGAGTTTACCTGGAGAGAGTTTCGGGGGTCAACGCCCCCGCGGCCCGGTCTGTGACCAGGCCTCCTGGTGGATCAGCGCCTGATCAACCAGGCTGTTGCTGCTGGCTGCACGCAAACCAACGTACGAGCCACAGCCCGGCTGATCAGGAACTGACTTTAGGTGCTTGTCCAGTGCCAGCTTGAAGACTGCCAGGGGTCTGTTGGTAATCCCCCTTATGTGTGCTGGGAGGCAGTTGAACAGTCTCGGGCCCCTGACACTTATTGTATGGTCTCTTAACGTGCTAGTGACCCCCCTGCTTTTCTTTGGGGGGAGGGTTTTGCATTTTCTGCCAAGTCTTTTTGTTTTTCGTAGTGAGTGATTTTCGTGGGGCAATTTTCGGTACTATTTCCCTCTAGGATTTTCCGGGTTTGATATAAATCTTTAAATTTCTCCCTCCTCTTTTTCCGGGGAAATTACAGGTTTAAACCTAAAGCGCCCCAGTAATTGAGGTGTTTTATCTCCTTTTAATGCCGCCGTGAAAGTTCTCTGTAATTTTCTAGGGGGAAATTTTCACCTCCCCTGAAAGGTGCGGGTTAGAGGGGCAGCAATATTAAAACCCCCTAGAAAGAAAAAGTGACCTAAAGGGTCATTTTGGGTTTTTGGCCCCCCCCTTTTTTTAGTTTTAAAGGGTTTCTCATTATCCTTTCCTGTCTTTTTTCTAGCAGATGCTTTGGGATACAATTTTTATGGTCCTTGAAGGTGAGATCCCCCGACAAAAACCCACTCCCAGGTTTTTGGGACGTTGGGGGTTTCGCTCTTTTTTTGGGGTAAAAATTTGTTTTGTACTTGATGAAGATTTAATTTCCTCATTTTTACCATATCTGAGTAATTGAAATTTCTTTCGTTGAACTTCATATTTTTCTCAGCCCACTGAAAAAAAATTTGGTTGAGGGTCCGCCGGGGCCCCTTGCGTGTCTGCAATGGAAAAACCCCTGTCATGCAGATTCGGGTGTCATCTGAAAAGGGAAAGCCCACGGTGCTGTGGCTGACATCCTTGTCTAGGTCGGATATGAGGATGAGGAAAAAGATGGGAGCTAGTACTGTGCCTTGGGGAAAACAGAGTTTTTTTAAACCACTCCCTCGGACTTTACTCGGGTTTTACGGGCTACTTCCCGTGTTCTGTTAGTGAGGGAAAATTTTAATCCTTTGACCCCACCCTTTTTCCCGTTAATTTTCCCTTTTGCGCGGGTTTTGGTTCCTAATTTTTCGGCCTGGGCAAAAATTATCGAAGGCTTTTTCAAAGGGTTTTATTTTTATTTCATCGCATTCTTTTTTTCCTTTTTAGTGGGATTTAGGACCCTTTTCCCTAGTGTTTCCCGTAGTTGAACAGGGCAGGAGCGAAACCCGTTCTAAACCCCCTGTTGCCCCCCGGGTTGGTGTAACTGATGGGTTTCTAAAATGGGTGGGGATCTTGCTTTTTAGGCCCTTTCAAAGATTTTTATGATAATTTGGGAAAGTTAGTGGCCCATTGGTTGTAGTTCTTTTTCTGTTGGGTTTTCTGCCCCCCTTTTTGGAGGGGGCTTGGGCTGGTTTTTTTTAGTAACTGAGGGGACACCCCCCTGCCTGCTCCCCCTTTCCCTAGGATGGAAAAAGGGTCGTGGGTAAAGGGGGGTTTTTGCAGTTTTGAGGGAAAACAGAGTTTCCATGAGCTGGCCCGGGGGGGAGTGCATGGGCAAAGGGCATTTAACGCCCCGTTCGAAGTCATTTTGGGGTCAGGATAAAAATCGGATAGGCTTGTGTTAATTTAAATTTTTTTGGCCCCTCTCCCTAAAAAAATTTATTTTTATCTTCGGGCTCTCAGCTGGTTAGCGGCTTGCAAAAAAATGAGTATATTGGGGGCTTGAGTTTTGCTCAATTCCCTTTTTTTTGCTGTCATTGTTTTAGGGGCCCCAAACTTGGGTTTTAAATGGGGCCCAATACGGGCGTTGTTCTCGATTTTTTATTTGGCCTAGGAGGGAAAAAAAAAATTTCTTTGGGTTTTTTTTCGATTTCATTTATAGCTTTTGTTCTTTTCCCCGATTCCTGACACCCCAAGGATTCTTTTTGCTTAAGTTTGTTTCTTGCTATTTTTCTACCGTTCTCCCTGCGCATTTCAAAATATATTGACCTTTTTAGCCGCTCTGTTTTTCTTTTCCGTGCCTTTAAAAAAGGGGCGCCCGTCTCTTTTATTTTACATCAAAAACCCCCCTTTTTCTTAGGGGAATAAGCCTTGTGCATCATCCCCGGGGCCACCGAATTTTAAACTGTTCCCAGGGATAAGTTTTTGGGGAGTGTTTGGGTTAGTAACTTCCCCCGCTTATATCGGGTTTGGACTTGGTTTTTCTTGGTCCCCCTTTATGTTTTTGTTATTTGAAGTTGAATTTGGGAAAGCTCCCTCGTGACTAGTCCCCATTTTTTTCCCGGGCTGGGGTCCCCGCATACATGCTGAACCTCAATTATGTTGTGATTGAGTATATTGTTTTTGATATGGTGACATTTCTTATCAGATCATCATTGTTAGTGAATATGAGGTCTAGTGTATTCTCCAGTCTAGTAGGCTCTATTATTTGCTGGTTTAAATTGAATTTTGTGCAGAGATTTAAAAGCTCGTGTGAGTGTGAGTTTTCATCAGAGCTGCCTCCTGGTGTTATTACTGCAACAATATTATTTGCTATATTCCTCCATTTTAGGTGCCTTAAGTTGAAATCCCCCAGGAGCAAGATGTTGGGTGCAGGAGCTGGAAGATTTTCCAGACAGTGGTCAATTTTTAACAGCTGTTCCTGGAATTGCTGGATGTTGCATCCGGAGGCTTGTAGACTACCACAATGACTAGGTTTTGGTTCTCGACCTTTACTGCTAAAACTTCCACTACGTCATTTGAAGGCATTAAGCAGTTCTGTGCAAACAAGTGACTCTGCAATGTACAGGCCAACCCCCCCCCCTTTTGCCTGTTCACTCTGTCACATCTGTATAGGTTGTAACCTGGGATCCATATTTCGTTGTCCAAGTGATCCTTTATGTGGGTCTCAGTGAAAGCCGCGAACATTGCCTTTGCCTCTGCAAGCAGTCCACGGATGAAAGGTATTTTGTTGTTTGTTGCTGGCTTTAGACCCTGTATATTTGCAAAGAAGAATGTTATCGGACTGGTGGTATTGTTGGTACTGGGGGGGGATTTTTTTTCCGGCATTAGTATCTGTATCTGTTGGTTTGGAGTGGAGGCCATCGACTGTGGTTCCACTCCAGGAATGACTGGATTTGGTGTACGATTTCTGCCATTTCCTGCCAGTTTTTTTTTCCTTCCTGGCACTAAAAAACCTCTCCCTCTTGAGTGGCTGTCGCTACCCAGGTTTTCCCATGGCCTGGATGTTTTGTATCTTTTTGTCCCCTTTAGATGGTATGCCTGGCAATTTAAGTTATAGCACAGTCTTTCCTGTACTGAAGAGGTACACATTTCAGGGTGAAAAAGCTTACAGGAAGGGAGTTTGCATTTTCCTGTTGTCATATGGGCATGGCATTTTCTAGGGTGGTCATAGTTGCACGTCCCATCTGTTTTTCCAGATTTCCCATGCCAGCAGATACCAAGTGCATAGTATGTGCACAGGCTTGGTTTCCGCTTGCCTTGGGTTTCTGTGACTGTATTCCCTGTTGGTGCATGTTTCCCTGTCTTACTTCTATCCTCCCTAGCACCAACAATGGAGCTCCCACCAGTTGTTTTTGGTAATTTATCCTCACTATTGCTATTGGAGTCCTCTTGTTTGCTATTTCCTGCCGTATTTCTAGTTTGCAATATTGGTTTTATCTTATCTTTGACTACACTTGTGATAATTTATATATAGTTACAGGGGCAGAGCTATGCTCGTGGAGTTCCGCCATCTGCAATTAGTTTATCATATAAATTTTCGGCGTTTCCTTGTGTGTGTGCACTCACTTATATGGTCACTATCTGTATGTGGTTGCAGGGGTTGAGTCACAGCTCCTGTCCCCGCCTCCTCGCTGGTCACTGCTAGGTCTGCTCTCCCAGCTCCAAGAGCCTTATCATACTTCTTCCTAAACCTGTTACTAACAAAGGTACATGAAAAGTAACTTACCTGAGAGAGCAGGTCAGCGGAAAGCAGATCAGCCATAGCGCCTCTTGAACCTACTTCACTCTGCCTCTTCAGCAGCAAAATACACAGGTCGCAGTAGAAGAACAAGACAATATGGACCACCTGCCTGAGTCTGAAACGTGGAAGATTAAATCAACACACTTCCACACCAATGTTCATAAATAAAAGGACACAAGTGCCCGAAATGCTTTGCATTACAATGGATTTTTTTTAACGCACAACAGTTGACAAACAGCCTGGTACCTACTTACTGCTAAGTGAACAGGGGCAGCAGATGTTAGGTAACATACCCAGTGTTTACACTCACGCTGTAGTATATATAATACAATGCTTTTGCAAAGTTGTAAACAACCTAAGGCATTTAAAATGGATACATTTCGTTCTTGGGACCCAAGTTACCCTGATGCAAGAAAATAAGAAATCCAGGTTTATGTAATGTGGAATGTAAGTCACAGCTGAAGCACAAGTAAATGTGTCTATGTATTACCTGGAGTTTACCTGGAGAGAGTTCCGGGGGTCAACGCCCCCGCGGCCCGGTCTGTGACCAGGCCTCCTGGTGGATCAGAGCCTGATCAACCAGGCTGTTGCTGCTGGCTGCACGCAAACCAACGTACGAGCCACAGCCCGGCTGATCAGGAACCGACTTTAGGTGCTTGTCCAGTGCCAGCTTGAAGACTGCCAGGGGTCTGTTGGTAATCCCCCTTATGTATGTTGGGAGGCAGTTGAACAGTCTCGGGCCCCTGACACTTATTGTATGGTCTCTTAACGTGCTAGTGACACCCCTGCTTTTCATTGGGGGGATGTTGCATCGTCTGCCAAGTCTTTTGCTTTCGTAGTGAGTGATTTTCGTGTGAAAGTTCGGTACTAGTCCCTCTAGGATTTTCCAGGTGTATATAATCATGTATCTCTCCCGCCTGCGTTCCAGGGAATACAGGTTTAGGAACCTCAAGCGCTCCCAGTAATTGAGGTGTTTTATCTCCGTTATGCGCGCCGTGAAGGTTCTCTGTACATTTTCTAGGTCGGCAATTTCACCTGCCTTGAAAGGTGCTGTTAGTGTGCAGCAATATTCCAGCCTAGATAGAACAAGTGACCTGAAGAGTGTCATCATGGGCTTGGCCTCCCTAGTTTTGAAGGTTCTCATTATCCATCCTGTCATTTTTCTAGCAGATGCGATTGATACAATGTTATGGTCCTTGAAGGTGAGATCCTCCGACATGATCACTCCCAGGTCTTTGACGTTGGTGTTTCGCTCTATTTTGTGGCCAGAATTTGTTTTGTACTCTGATGAAGATTTAATTTCCTCATGTTTATCATATCTGAGTAATTGAAATTTCTTATCGTTGAACTTCATATTGTTTTCTGCAGCCCACTGAAAGATTCGGTTGATGTCCGCCTGGAGCCTTGCAGTGTCTGCAATGGAAGACACTGTCATGCAGATTCGGGTGTCATCTGCAAAGGAAGACACGGTGCTGTGGCTGACATCCTTGTCTATGTCGGATATGAGGATGAGGAACAAGATGGGAGCGAGTACTGTGCCTTGTGGAACAGAGCTTTTCACCGTAGCTGCCTCGGACTTTACTCTGTTGACGACTACTCTGTGTTCTGTTAGTGAGGAAATTATAGATCCATCGACCGACTTTTCCTGTTATTCCTTTAGCACGCATTTGGTGCGCTATTACGCCATGGTCACCACTTGTCGAAAGGCCTTTGCAAAGTCTGTATATATTACATCTGCATTCAATGAACCCATTGCCATATATTGATGATTATGATTGTTTTATGAAAAACCAGGCCTTCACTTTATTCATGCAATGCAAGATCACTTCTTCCTAAATTGGCAGAGATAGGATTCCTACTAACAAAATTAGGGCGGCAGTTATAACCATCTCTGAATCTGGTTGGATGATACTGTGACCTGACGACGAGGTCAGAATAGTGATGGTTACAATTAAAACGCTTAGATAGGAACAGAAAGGGTGGTGAGTATGTGCCTACATTAGAAATGACTTAGCTTACAACCCAAGACCTGATTAAATAACAATAAACTGGAGATCTATGGTTTTGAAGTGCTGCTTCCTAAAGACCAACACCCATCTTAGTATAGGAAATAGTTACCGCCCTCCTACCCAGAGACCAGTTCTTAGAAGACTTTTCCAGAGTCTTGTCCGGAGATGAAAACAAATGCGAGACAAATATTAACTGTGCGACTTCAATTATTTGTTTTCAGCAGCAAAATAACGGGCTATGCAAAAGGTATAAGCAAATTCTAGGATTAAATAGTTTTACACTCAACTAATAATACTCCAACCCGATCACACAGTTCTCAGCCACCCTAATTGACCCACTTGTATCCGCTCTGAGAATTAAAGGAAAAACATGAGTCAGTCAAGGCGTCCATTACACAGGTCTTAGTGATCATTTCATCATTAACTGCACCAGGAAAATCACTAGGGATAGGATATTCTACACAGGACAGTGAAATGAGTCCGGTGGTCTGGTGGCTAAAGCTCCCGCTTCACACACGGAGGGCCTCGGTTCGATTCCCGCGGGTGGAAAACATTCGCAACGTTTCCTTACACTGTTGTCCTGTTCACCTAGCAGCAAATAGGTAACACTGTGTAGTCGACTGGTGGGTGGTCGCATCCTGGGGGGACAAGATTAAGGACCCCAACGGAAATAAGTTAGACATCCCTCGATGACGCAACTGACTTTCTTGGGTTATCCTGGGTGGCTAAACCCTCCGGGGTTAAAAATCCGAACCAAAACTTATCTTATCTCTCTTAAAAACACTGGTAAATTAGGCTTACACAATTGTGACGGAACAGAGATACATGCACGGACGTAACGATGCCTGGAAAAATTCAACAATGTTCACTAACCATTCTTTAATAATTTGCACCAGTTAAAGAGGTTAGGATTAAACGAAAACCTGAACCTGGATGACTACTGAGATATTAGATAATATGAAATTCAGAATAACCACTGCTAAAAAAAGAATTAAAAGCAAAAAGACCGGATATTGCAGCACTAAATGAATTTCAAGGGTGAGGAACAAGAGTACAGAGACTTATAACAAAGGAGCAAAAGGCAAAGCACTACGCTCTAAAATTGAAGAGTATAACCATAACCCCAAAAGCTCAGGCAACAACTAAAAAACATTTGGGGTATAGCCATAAGCCAGTAGATAGGTCTTAACATAGTACCACTATCGATAATGAGGTATGCCATGAATCATCTAAGGAGGCAAATTGATTCTTTTAATTCAACTATACATCTAGTTGCATCAAGACTAGTAAGTAAACTACCAGCTGCATCAAATACCTTTAACACAGACTCTGATAAGTTTCAAACATACTATACCAATAAAGGGGTAACCCCAAACAGTTGACAACTAGTAAGTGTATCTCATGACTTTATTCAAAAAGAACTAAGCAGGTTAAACCCAACTAAGAGCACAGGCCCTGATAACATCCCGTCTAAGTTCCTAAAAGATGGTGCTTCTGAACTGTCAATCCCTATTGCTCACATAATAAATCTATCAATCACCACTTTTTTGGGTTATCCTAGGTTCTCTACACATATGCTGCTATGTATGATAATTCTATGTAACTGTATTGTGTATACCTGAATAAATTTACTTACTTACTTACTTACTTACCGTACCGGAGGGGTTCAAGGAGGCCAGAGTTACTCCTATCTTCAAGAAAAATAGTAGGTCTGATGTAAGCAACTATAGGCCTGTTAGTATACTCAGTATAATATCTAAAATTCTAGAGAGGGCGGTGTATTCTCAAGTAGTTAAGTACCTTAATGACAACAACATTCTCCATAGCTATCAATCGGGCTTTAGAAGATCCTACTCAACTGACACCTCCCTTATTAATCTGATGGATTACCTGAGAACTGAAATGTCAAAGGGGAACTTCATAGTTGGTAACCTTAAGACACTGCAAAAGCTTCCGATACTGTCACCACATAAATTATGAGTAATAAACTTCAGCTATCCGGTTATAGGTTCTGTAGACGGGTTTAAGTCCTACCTTAGCCAACAGGAGACAAATAGTCAAAATCAACAAAACAGAATCAGAACCGCCCTGCCAAAACATGAGGGAGTTCCCCAGGTAGTATTCCTGGTCCCCTTATTATTCTTATGTTATGTCCAATGATATGCCTATCAGTGTCAAGTGCAACTCCTACTGTATGCAGATGACATGCCTCTGTTTAGTGTCAGGTAAAGACCGCACAAGATATTACTAAAGTTTAACAACTGGAACTGGAGTCCTGCAGCAAATGGTTAGTAGACAACAAACTATATTACACCTAGGGAAAACTGAAGAAGCCATTCACTTTGGGCACGAAACATAAACTGAGAAGGGTAAATTAACTTTAATGGTTTCAATGTAATGGGAGCCCATCACTTTGTTTCATCAGTAAAATATTTGGGAATCCCATTTGACCCATGCATGTCAAGGAGAATTGATAGGAAACAGTGTCGTATAGAAAGCGAATGCCACTGAATTCCTGTATTACAAGCACAGTGGTCTACCTACTGAGGCTCGCAGGACCCTAATGCTAGCCCTTATACAATGCCAATGGATTACGCTTGCTCTTCATGGTACTCTGCCTTGACAAAAAAACTGAAAGATAGACTCAAATCACCCAGAACAAAATCGAAAGATTCATCATGGGGCGGGACCAAGGAACATGTAGGCCAGGATGAATTACAACAGTTGATATGCTGAATGTTGAAGACAGAGTAAAACAACTGAAGCTAATCAATGTTTTATAAAATTGCGTCACAAACTAGTTTGTCCAAATATCTATGCTGTCAATTTGTCAGGGGGGTTGGGGAACCAAAGCAATCAATAGTACTAGGGGGAGTAAAGAGCACACTTTGTAGTACCCCAGTCATTGGCCAGGTTCAAACCCTTTTATTGTACAGCAATAAAGGAATGGAACAGACTACCCGCACATGTCAAAGCCAGTCCATAGCATGAACCAGTTCAAGAAGAGTGCCAAAAGGAGTCTGGATGAATGTAGCTACGAAAGGGAGGGGAAATGATTTTCTATATTTTATCTAACATATACGTGTAAATTTACCTTATTCTAGTA